AGGAGGAAGCCCAGGCTCCCAGCCTCCCGCAGGGAACGGAGTCTGGCTGGAACTGGGCGCTGTGTTCGTTTTACTTACAACCACCTTCCACTGCGAGTAAGGGGCGACGCTGCCTTCCCTTTTCCTCGGTGAGACTGGGGTTGTTACTGGCTTCCCTTTAAATGTTGCTTTAGTTTTTAAAAAGCAAGTGCATTTGAAGGAAAATACTAATTACTAGCACAGGCGATGCGGAACAGAGTACAAATCAGGAAGGCAGCACAGAAAGTCGGCGGAGATTTGTGGAAAGCACCGCCGTCTGAAGCTCTCTGACAGGTGCCTTCCACCTGCCTTCTCACCCTCCTCCCCTCCTTCTCAGCAACGCTCCCCACCCCGCCTCCCAGCACAACTCAGAGGGTTTGCTTGCTCAGGGTTTGCAACTCGTTCCCAGACCCTGTCCTTGTTTCGTCCCAGGCAGACTAACAGAACCCCAGCGCAGCCTCTCTGTCACCGTCCAGAACCCATTTCAGAGTCCCAGCAGCAGGAGTTTGGCAAACGCCAGTTAACCTGTGGAAGACTCCTTTCACCTGCCCAGTAACTTGACGATTTTAATTTACACAACCTGGGGTCACTTCCACCCAACTACACTTGCTTCCAAAAGTCAATTTCAAAGGCGCGTTTTTGGGGGGCCCTGGGGGTAACGTGGTAAGTGATGGGAGCCTAGAGAAAAATACTTCAGAGACCTGGCTGAGCCCGACCGCACCCGAACTACAGAAAATACAGCAGCTGCCCGTGAAGTGCAAGACTGCCTAAGCTCCGTCCGCTGACGGCAGGGATGGCAGCCCTGTCCTACCTCGACAGGGACGACCTGAGTCCTCTGAGAAAAAGATGAGGCTGAGGCTGTTAAAGAAGAGAAGGACTAGAATGCTGGCAAGGAGCACGGCAGAGACAGCCAAAGGGACTGGGGGTGCTTAGTCTGGAGGAGAGACAGCTGAACAGGCTACGATTACGTGCCGGTTCTGCCTGTAAGCACAATGACCACGAGACTCATTCTCCAAGGCCCTGCGGAGTAACAGGGACCCCCATCTCCTCCCCCTCCCCCCAGACAAAGCAGGAAACAGGAGACAAACTCCACTTTAACACAAGAACTTCTTAACAGAGCTCTCCAGTGGTGGGGTGGACTGCCTATGAGATACTTAGCTCTCGGTCACAGGAAAACTGAAGTAGGAACTGGATAATGAAGTAAAGCTACTCATTCTGTTCAATAATCCCCAGCCCGCTGGTGGACTCTAGACGTACTCACCCACCCTCAAATAGGGGGCAGGCTACATGGTCACCGCGGTTGTTTTCTGTCTGTGAACTATGAATCCACCTGAACTATTTTTTAAAAGATTCCATTTATTTATTTTTAGAGAGAAGGAAAAGGAGGGAGCAAGACAAGGGGAGAAACAGTGATTGGCTGCCTCTAGCACGCCCCCAACATGGCCCAGAACACAGGCAAGTGTCCTGACTTGGGAATCGATCTGCCAACCTTTCCGTCCTCAGGCTGGCGTGCTCAATTCGCTGAGCCACACCAGCCAGGTCACCACCTGCATTCTTAAGTTCAACGGCTACACACCTCTTTACAGCACCCCATATTAATAATATACCACTTCCTCTTTCCACACAGGCAGCCCACCTAGGGGTTCTCCATCTTTCCTATCAGTCCCTTCACAGAAAAATTCACTTCTCAGATTAGCAGGGCCCCAGGCTCTTTGGTCTGCGGCAACACTTGACCCTACAATCCTCAGCTGTGTTTTTCAGAAAGGAGATGTGCTCTGCTGAGCTCAGGTTAGAAAGTTAACATGTTCCTGTCATTGGCAGCAGCTGCGACCATCCCATGACCCAGAACATGCCCAGGATCCAGAAGAAAGCGACAGATCTGTCCCAAGCCTCCAATCCCCGTTCTGGGGAAGACGCGCAGCCCTTACCTTCTACCGAGGGGGAGAAGATGATGAGATTGTCATAGAGAAACTCCCCGTACTTAATAAGAGACAGGCTGGGGTCATCTGCGGTCTTGAATGTGAGTTCAAAGCCCCGATCTGGACAAGGAGAAAACAGGGAACTGAGGCAGACGGGACGCAAAGGGAAACCGCCGTTGCAGAGATCACGACCACCTCCGGTTACCCACAAGCGACAGGCCCGACCTGGGCAGCCCGCTCGTGGACCTTTCAAACCCCGGATTCTCAGCCGCCGCCCCCTCGGACTCCTGACTCACCCTTCAGACTCCGAAAAAAAAGCGAATGCGTCTCCCGCAGGTTGAGGTTGTCCAGCAGCACTAAAGTGCGGGGACCGCTGGCGCAGACCGGGAGGAGCGAGTACAGCAGCAGCAGTGGCGGCAGCAGCAGCTGCAGCCACAAAATGGACCGAGCGCGGGCCGTAACACCACACTCCATCTTTCTACTCCTGCAAAAGAATCCAAGCACCTAGGCGCCGGAAGTACCCCGTCTAAGGTTGCCCAATCGCTGCTCCTGGTTGTGGTGTTCCACCCGGAAGTGACCTGGGTACTACGGTGCGGGTGTCCCGGTGCCCCCGCTCTGACCGTGGAATTCAGAGGCACTACCGGAAGTACCTCCGTCGTAGGTGGAGCCTCTAAATTGTATTGGCGGATGGGGGACCCGGCTCCGCCCCCCCGAGAGAAAGGGCTCAATCCTAGAGAGACAGCTCTACAGGCGCGGCCAATCAGCAGGGACCTTCATCAGTGCGGTCGCGCTCAGCGTGGTGGTATTATTGCGTCCCAATCGGGAGCTGTTGTGGCCGTTGCTCCCCGGAATCAGCTCTTCAAGTCCTCGCTGGTCAAGGACAGACTCGAGGCTAGGAAGCAGGCCCCATCTCCACCATCTCCAGAGAGGAAGGGATTGGAAAAATAAGATCAGGGACATTTTATCTCCTGCGGCTTCCGGGCCTAGGGGCCTTGGCACGTGTAGGTGCTGCCCTGCCAGCTGTCCCCAGCTGGAGACAGCGTGAAAAGGCAGTGGACTCGCTTAGTGATTAGAAAGCTCTAACTTGGTTCATTCCCCAGCTCCGCCTGCCACTAGCACTTTTACCCGTGGATTTCACTTCTCTCCAGGCTACTGTCCTAGGCTGAAAATAAAAATAGCCAGAAGCAGCTCTCCTTACTCATCTGTGCGCCTTTGGAACAGCCCTGGGTTCTGGGGCGGACCGGAGCAGGTTTTAAAGCGCTAGTGCAGGGCTAGGCTGAGCAGCCACTTAGTAATGCAGGCTCTCACCCCTTCTAAATGGATCCAGGGTTGGGGCTCACTTCAGACCTGCCTCAGTCCCATCACAGTCTTAAGTTAAAGCTACCACAAGAAACTGCAAGACTTCCCCTCCAACACAGACCGGATGCTGCCAAACTGTTAGGAGTCTACCTCAGTTCAGGGACACCCAAGGCTTTCACTCAGGTCCTCCCCCACACTCATCCCTGCAGCCTCATTCTCCTCTTAGTCCCTGCTCAGGGCTTACCTGGAGTAGGTCTCCTCCAGCTTTAGCACATCCTCAACTTCCCCACCTCCTGTCATTGCTCATGTAGTTCCCTCTACCTGGAGCCCCCTCACCATACTCCTGTCTTAAGCCTCCTGGAAGGAACATTCTCTCCATCTTTTATGGGAGCCCCACCCCGCACCACGGTGCTCCCTTCAACAAGGGTTTTTTGTTTCCCATGAAGCCTGATCCCACTTCCTTGTACTCAAAAGCACAGACTGCAGCCTGCCTCAGGTTAGACTCATCTCCAAAATTACCTAAGTACCCACCACACTGCCCCAGCTTCTCCAGGATGTGAGCTCCTTGGCCCAGGCACATAGCTTGTTGCATATACCACAGTAATTAAAATACAGAGGAGGAACGCAGGGCTGACACACAGCACCTGCTATGCACCTGAACTTTAGACACGAACTCATTTTAACTTCACATTAACTCTGTGGGGTGGGCGTTGCCCTGTTTCACAGATGAGGCTCAGAACGACATGAGACTTAGCACCCGAGGCCGAACCTCTTCCCTCAGAGTGTGAGCCCCTCCCACGGGGCTGGTCTGGGCTACTATGGGCAAGGGGAGGGGTGCAGCCTAGGTTGTTGGGGTGGCCGGGTTCATTTTGGCCATGCAAGGACACCCAGTTCCAGAGGGCTGACAGAACCTGGACCTTCTCTGGGCCTCAGCAAGACATGACCTGTTTTCCACAGCAAAGGCTCTGCTTTCCGGGGTCACAGAGCCCTTGAGGATCTAATGACAGCTCAGATGCTTTCCCAGGAAAAAACACTTGTACTTACAGCTGCAGGGAGCAGCAGAAAGTTTGGAGCCTGTTTGTTTTAAAGGCTTCAGATACTTAAGAACCTTATTCCAGAAAGAGCTTCCCCTCAGAGGCCAGGCAGGGAGGGGCCCCAGTGACACTGTCAGAGAATCAAGGAAGCGGCGCTTGTAGGTAAAAGACAGTTTATTGGGGCAGCTTGAGGTGGAGTGGCCTTCTTGAGCCACAGACGAGCCAGGAGTGGGCAGCAGGGGAGCAGCTGCTTCAGGCCTTGGGCACCCGTCCTGCAGGACTGCCCCCAGGAAGTGGGCCACGTGGATGGAGGCACCAGTTTCAGTCACTAGCATGTCAAGCTTGATCCACGTGGAAGTTGCTGCCCACTCTGTCGGGGCTGCTGGTGCAGGCCTGGAGGCAGAGCTGAGACTCCTGAGCCCACCGAGGCGCCAAGCAGCACTGGTGGGCATGAACGGCCGGCTGTGGCAGGTGAGCAGATGGAAATACTGACATGGCGTTGAGAGCTGGAGTGGGCCTTTCTGAGGATGGTCCAGCCTCCGAGGGGCTCCCACCCAGGCAGAAGTGGGCTCTCAGGGAACAGGGAAGGGAATTTGTCTTCCCAGGACAAGAGCCCCCTCCAGTGTCCTGGTCACTACGGGCAGGTAGGAGGTCACTACGGGGCAGGGGCTGCCCTGCAGGGCCTGGCAGTCTCACAGAAATCCAGACACAGGGCAGCAAGCAGCCGTGTTCACAGGGGCTCACTGCCAAAGCTGCTCTTGCTTTTCTTACGCTTGGCCTTGGTGAAGGGGATGTCAAGGGATTCAAGACGGAAGGGCCGGGGCTGGGGCATTTCGGGGGCCTGGGCAGGGGGGATGGCAGAGCTGTTGTTGAGTGGGGAGCTGAGGCCTGGTGGTGAGCTGTGACCTGCTGTGGAGAAGAGGCCAGAGGGCCCTGATAAGCCGGAAGTGCAGGGTATGGAGAGCAGGCGCTGTGTGTAGGTACAGAACCGGGCCCAGCCCCCACCCAGCCAGAGGCCCTGGTCGCACAGCTAGGATCTCAAGTTCTAAGCCTCTGCTCTGGGTGAGCAGGGTGAGGCTCCAGACCTAGCACTATGTCTGCGTCCAAAGGGTCTGGGCTGGGATGTAGACTGTGATCTCAAATCAAACAAGCCTAGGTGCAAAGCCCAGTTCCACCACTTCCTGGAAGTACGGACTTATTTGGATCTAAGCATTCTGACTAATGTAACCCCTCAGTGCTCCCAAGTTAAGAATGTCTTTTCAAGAACAAGTTTCCCTTTTTTTTACAAAGTTAAGCTATCAAAAGCAGCCGATCAGAGCTTTGGACCAGCCTGAGACATTCCTTAGAGCCACCCTGAGCCCCACCAAAGATGCCTGGCTGAGCTCTCCAAGGCTCAGTCCCTTCATCTGCAGCATGGGCACAATGCCAGATTCTCAACTGGTATTAGTTTATTTCCTGTCCGACTTTTCCCTTCTTATTCCTCAACTCCACCCACTCCGTCTCTTAAATAACACTGAGATGTACTTTTCACTGATGTTTCTTTGGAAGCTCTGTGGTCTTTCAGTTTTAAACACAGAAGAATGAAATGCTTTTCAATCTTGCTTTTGAAAGTTTTGCTCCGTGGTCCTGTCTGCCCGCTCATGGCTCCGTAGGGGAAAGCCACAATACCGACCCAAAGCAGTGCACCACACGGCAGGGCCCTGAGCAGTGTGCTGGGGCCCAGCGTGTGTCTTGGAGGCAGATGAATGGCACAGTACGTCTGCCCCAGGAGACCAAGGGATAGAGCAAAGGGGAGACTGTGTGTTGAGCAGCTACTGTGTGCCAGGCTCTGGGCTGTGCCGTTTTCCCATTTCATTTCACCTGATCCTGAGAGGTAGCTGCATCCCCCTCATTTAATAGCTGAGGACACTGAGGCTCTTCACGGGAGAGAGAAAGGGGTTTCTAACCCAGGCTGTCTGACTCCAAACCCACCCCATCATTCCCCTCCCAGCAGGCAGTGGGCCTGGACGGTTCTCGGGGAGGGAGAAGAGGGTGAGAGGAGGGCTGGGCACTCACTGAGGCTCTTCATGGGATCCGTGCTGAGGATCTGGCTGGCCCGCTTGGGCCGGAAGTAGTTACTGGCAATATTTTCACTGTCGCTCCGACTGAGCATCACCTTGTAACGGTCTTCTTCCTGCTGAAATTCCAAGTCCTCATGGGTAAGAACCCTTATTTGTGCAATTCGTATGTGGGCCCCTACCCAGGGCCCAGCAGCCTCTGCGTGAGGCTGATGATCAATAGAATTAGCATCTCAGTTTTTACTGCCAAGAACTGTTCTTTTGGACTTCCACCAAGATGGAGGCGTAGGTGGAAGCACTGCACCTTCTCACACAACCACATTTTAAAATAACAAAGTTTTAGCAACAAAAACGCAGTCAAACCACAGAAAATGGAACTATATGGAAGTCTGACCAAACAACGAACCCTTCAGCCAAACCAGTAAGAGGGGCAGAGCCAGCAGCAGAGTGGGGTCGGGCAGGAAAGATCCACCAGACCGACCGGGTAGGCGGATCCCAGGTGTGGAATAGCAGGCGGACCCACTGAGGGCTGATTGCAGTCACACAGTCGAGAGCAGATAAACTGGTGAAGGAGGGAGCGGTGAGACAGACCGTGCAGGCCCCAGTGGCGGAAAGTGGCCGAGGGGACCGCCATTGTCCCTCTCTGACCCCGCCCCCACATACAGCATCACAAACCAGCGACCTGGGGGGCCCCGCCCTGGTGAACACCTCCTCATACATAACAGGCATGAACAGATCAAAACATGGTTCAAGAACAACTCAGAGCCCCAGAGCCAATAAATCTAAGCAATGAAGAAATAGCCAAACTTTCAGATGCACAGGTGATCAGGATGCTCACAGAACTGGTTGATTATAGTCACAAATTAGAGGAACATATGAAGGCTAAACTAATTCAAATGAATGGAAATGTACAGGAAACCAATAGTAATGGAAAGGAAACTGGGACTCAAATCAAGGGAGCAGACCAGAAGGAAAAAAAATGACCAAACAGAAAAATATGAAGAAACAAGAATTCAAAAAAATGAGGAGAGGCTTAGGAACATCCAGGACATCTTTAAACGTTCCGACATCCGAATTATAGGGGTACCAGAAGGGGAAGAGGAACAGCCATGAGTGGAAAACTCATTTGAACAAATAATAAAGGAGAATTTCCCCAATCTGGCAAAGGAAATAGACTGCCAGGAAATCCAGGAAGCTCAGAGTCCCAAAGAAGTTGGACCCAAGGAGGAACACACCGAGGCACATCATCATTACATTAGCCAAGATTAAAATGAAGGAGAGAATCCTAGAAGCAGCAACAGATAAGGGGACAGTCACCTACAAAGGAGTTCCCATCAGACTGTCAGCTGATTTCTCAAAAGAGACCTTACAGGCAAGAAGGAACTGGAAAGAAGTATTCCAAGTCATGAAATCCAAAGACCTACATCCAAGATTGCTCTATCCAGCAAAGCTTTCATTAAGAATGGAAGGGCAGATAAAGTGCTTCTCAGATAAGATCAAACTCAAGAAGTTCATCATCACCAAGCCCTTATTATATGAAATGTTAAAGGGACTTACCAAAGAAAAAGATTAAAAAAGATGAACAGTGAAAGGACAGCAAACTCACAGTTACTAAGAACCACACCTAAAACAAAAACAAACTAAGAGGACAGTTAGATCAGGAGCAGAACCATAGAAATGAAGATCACATGGAGGGTTAGCAACAGGGGAATGGGAGAAGGAGAAGGGGGGAGAAGATACAGAAAATAAGTAGCATAGACGGTGGGTAGAAAATAGACAGGGGGAAGGGCAAGAATAGTATGGGGAAATATAGAAACTAAAGAACTTGAGACGCGTGGTCATAAACTAAAGGGGGGAATGGTGGGGAGGGGTGTGCGGGATGGAGGGGAATTAAGGGAGGAAATAGAACTGTAATGACATAATCAATAAAATATATTTTTAAAAATAATATAAAAAAACAATAATCCAGTCTGTAGGGAAGTCAACTGCAAGGTGATCAAAATAGCTGAGTCAATTTGTACTTACCACTAACAAAACAAACAACAAATAAAACCAACAAATAACCAAAAAAAAAAAAGAACTGTTCTTTTTCAGCACTGTCACGGACTGGCTTTCCTCACCTCGAATCTCTTCCTTCAGAGAACTATCCTCTTGCCATTCCACACTGTCCCGGCAGGGTGATCATTTATGGTGTCCTGATACCACCCCCTACCCACCTGCCTACCCACTCCCTGGCCACATAGCCAGACATGTGACCCAGCCTGGACCAGTCCCAGAACTACATCTTCTGGACATAGTCATTGGTCCAAGAGTAGGCCCACGACCAGGACAGAAGAGATCAGAACCGCTCCCCACAAGCAGTTTGGGATGCTCTAAGACACCCTTCCTGTTGGGTCACAAATTGCTGGCAGCCATCTTTCCTGCCTTCCTCACATGGAGAAAGCCTGCCTGAGTCTGGAGCTAGAATATTAGGGGAAGCAGAACCCTGACTGTGTGAGCCCCTAGATCCAGCCATGCCTGAAACTGATATAAATTCCCCACTTTGCTTATGATTGTTTGCTTCGAGTAACTATCACCAGGAAATGTGGTCCCAGGTTACAAATGTTTTTTTCAGGAACAACTTTCCCTTTTTTTTTTTTTAACCAAGTTAAGCTATCACGAGCAGCCAATCCAAGCTTTAGACCAGGCTGAGACATTCCCTGCAGCCACCCTGGGCCCCGCCAGAGACGCTGGGCTGGAATCCATTAACCTGTGCGTGGTCTTGCCGGCAAAGGCATGTTCTGAGTGGGTGTCGGAAATATCTGTAATGGTTTCGGGCAGGGGTCAGCAAACTGCGGTCCATGGGCCAGATCTGCCCCAGACTGCTTCTGTGAAGTTTCACTGGAACCCTGCCATAGCCACTCATTTACGTATTACGTGTGGCTCTTTGGTGCTCCAGTGGCAGAGTGGAGTACTTGTGACAGGGACGTGTGGCCCACCAGGCCTGAAATGTCACTGCCTGGTCCTTCACAGGAAAGACTGCTGACCTCTGCTTTAAGGACATGCATTCCTATCGTAACACAAAATGTGGGGGTATGAAAGTAAAGTGACGTCAGAATCCCAATGACTGTGTGTGGACCCTTTCGGGGCCCTTTCAGTCTGGGGATGCCGGCCAGGCCCAGGGAACCAAGTGTACCGCTGGGCCTCTGGGATTAAAGCTGAAGCTTCTGTCCTTCACCGGCTGACCTGACCCATCCACTTCTGCTCTGGTCTTTGTGACCACAAGGGGCTTTGAATGAAGGCCGAGGGTGGATGAGGGCCTAGGTGCCGACCGGTTTATACAGAAAGGACCCGGGCTCAGCCGCCTGCTTTAATCCAGTTCCCCACTGTATTGCTGACCCACTGCGCCTGGGGCCCACCCCCCCCCCCAAAAAACGGAGGCCTCACCGTGCCAGGCTCGCCGCCGTTGTCTGCTGCAGAGGTTTTGTGGACCGGTTTGTTCTGTGGGCCTGTTGAAACTGTCAGGAGACAACAAAAGTGAAGTCACTGCTGCTCTGTTCAGGGCCAGAGGGACAAGGTGGGCCGCAGTGCTCTCCCCATACGGGGTGAGGGTCAGGCCTGGCTCAGGCTTGGAGCCAAAGCGGGGACACTTCCCAGCCTGAGCAAAGGGATGGCTTAGGGGGACACACAGGAGGGCTCAGACGCCAAAGAAGCCATTCCCCTGCTTCCAAGCAAAGTAGCAGGTTGGTGGGGGCAGCAGGAAGGCTGCGCTGCCCGAGTTTCAGCGGAGGTGGTGGCAGGGGCCAAAAACGTCAGAAACGTGGGGCCTGGACGAATACTCTGACCAGGGGGAGAACGGGTGGGGGCCTGGGGAAAGTAGCCGCCTACTACCCTCTGAATGGGCAGAGCCCGCGAGGTGGCTGCAGAAAGAGCTGTTGTAAGTCTGACCTTACTCTGAGACTCAGTAGAGATGGAAGGGCCTTCAAGATCCCTTTATTCAGCCCTTTCCTTGTGAAGATCAGAGGACCAAGGCCCAGAGAGGCACAGTGACCATCACAAGGTCACACAGGAAATCAGTGGCAAAAGCAGAAGTTGAACCAGGCCTGAAACTGACTGGCTCATTTCCATCCCCGGCCCAGCCCCTCTCTGGGGATGGTGACTGGGGTTGAGGCGCTTACACTCCCTGCGATCCCACTTACTCGCAGGTAAAACAGGTGTGACAGTCCCGTCCTTCACAGGACAGTTACAGGGTGAGATGACAGTGATGGTCACGATAGTGATTAAATGTCCCAGAAACGTGAGACGTGCCAGGCACGGCTCTAAGGGTTTTACGTATATTAACACCCTTAATGGTATTAACCATTTTAAGCCACCCAGCAATCTTTAAGGAAGGTGCTGTTACTAATGCCCGTTTCACAGAACAGGTACTGAGTCCCCAGGAGGTCACACAGGGAGTGGTACAGCCACAATTCCAACCCCCATCTGTCTGACTCAGAACACACCGCTCTCTCATGTCCCCATGTTTTGGAATCTCCGGGTCACGTGCCCCCTTCACCCACAGCCATCGGGACGAGGCCCACGGCTCCCTGTCAGTCTGCAAAGTGGCCAAGTGCGGAGGCGGCGAGGGAGGGCCGAGGGCACGGCCGGGCTCCTGACCTACTGGGAGGCTGGTTTTCACGATGACAGGCTCGGGGATCTTCCAGAAGCCGCTGTCCTCGTCCCAGCAGGCCTCCCGCCTGATCTTCTCCAGGTTGCTGTAGTTGCAGTCGCGGCGGATCAGGGGCTGCACCTGCTCCAGGAGCTGCTGGAACAGCATGAAGTCGCGTTCCTGCCGGCGGATGGTGGCCAAGTAATCGATCTTCTCCAGCTCAAACTCCGACTGCAGGTCTTTGATCTCCACCTCTGCTGCCCGAAGCTAAAAACACGGTGTGACGAGCCGTGTGTGGAAAACGCACTGAGACATCTCCCCATCCGTCCACCCACCCTCCCATCCCCCAACTGCCCGTCCACCAGCTGTTCCCCATCTGCTCACTGACCCGCTCATTCATCCATTCTTCACTCCACATCTCCCCACCATCCTTCCCTCCATCCCCTCACTCACCCCCCTCGCCCCCCCGCCCTGCAGACAGCAGGTAAAGAAGTTCATCGTCAGCCCGCACTGCCAGCCCTCTGTCACCACCCCACACTGAGACATTTTATTCAGGAGCCTGTCGCAGGCTCCACGCATCGCGACGGTCACCACGGTGCTCAAAGACCTCAGAGAAGTATACACATTCTCTTGCTAAAGGGAACAGCAAGCAAAAACTGTCAGGCTCAGCCATCCCTGCCTTCCCGGGGCCACGATGCTGTCACAATGTGACTGCCACTGGACCAGAGTCCATAGTCTCTGCGTTGTTTTGACCTCCTGCCCAGTCTGCCATGCCGGCCCTCCACTCCCTCCCAAGCACAAGTGACTCGCAACTCCAACTGTAACCATGAGACTCACTGGTGCACAGCCTACTTCCTCACACGCCAGGTAAAGAAGGAGGTTTTAAAGGTATGGGGATGAAAATCACATATAACTTCTCCTAGCCAGTGTGGCTCGGTGGGTTGGGGCATCGTCTTGTAAACCAAAGAGTCATGGGTTCAATTCCCAGTCAGGGCACATGCCTGGGTTGCAGGTTCCATCCCATGAGGGTACATACGAGAAGCAGCCAATCGATGTTTCCCTTCCTCCCTCCCTCCCTCCCTCCCTCCCCCTCCATCTAAAAATCAATAAGCACCTCCTCAGAGGAGGATAAAAACAATTGCATGTAAGCAACTGAGAACAGAGGCCACCGGGTCGGACCCAGGGAGCCATCGGGCAGGTCACAGGTCACAAGGCCTCAACTCAGTGAGCGAGGCTCCATTTCTCAAGCTGGGTGGTAGATACACGGCGTTCATGGTAACAACCTTTATACATCTTTGTACATCTGCATCATTTTCAAGGGCCTTACAACACCTTCGCTGAGATGTAATTCACCCGTCTTACATTCACCTAGAGTGTGCAGTTCGGTGGATTTTAGAATATTCAGACATGTAGACATTTTTGCAGCTATCATCCCAATTCTAGGACATTTCAGCACCCCAGAGACCCCACCCTCGTTCGCCACCCCTGTTTCTCCCCAGCCCCAGCCCTAGGCAACCACCAACCCACTCTCCGTCTGTGGATTCCGGACACTCCACATATGTGGGACTGGACACCATGTGGCCTTCGTGTCTGGCTTCTCCCACTTGACAAGTGTTTTCAAGGCCTATTCGTGTTACACTGTGTATCAGCACTTCGTTCTTGCTACAGCCAAATAACACCCCTGGGTGAAAATGCCCCATTTGGTACATTCGTGGCTGTTCCCACTTTGGGCCACGATGAATACGCTGCTGTGAACAGCACGGAACACGTTTTCGTGCGGACACATTTTCCTTTCTCTGGGGCGTAACTGCTGGGTCCTGTGCACACACCACACGCAGCCAATGGAGGACCTGCCGGACGGTTTCCCAACTGTGCCAGGTCACGGTCCCACCAGCAGAGCCTGGGGGCTGTTTCTCCAGGTCCCCCTGGCGTTTGTCATCCTCTGACTGTATTTGTTACGGCCACCGAGGGGGCGTGAGACGCTGTCTCATCGGGTTTTCCATTCTAAAAGGTGATGCTGAGCATCGTTTCATGTGATCTTCCTCGGAGAAACCTGCTCTGGTACTTTGCCCAATTTTAAATTGGACTATTTATCTTTTTACACTGGATTCTCCATTCCGTCCCATTGGTCTACGAGTCTGTGTTTACACCAGTACCCCTGCCGTGATTGCTCTTTGTGCTAAGTTTTGAAATCGGCAAGTGTGAGTGCTCCAGCTTTGCTCTTTTCAGGATTGTTTCGTCTATTCTGGGCCCCTGGAATTTCCCTGTGAACTTTAGGGTCACCGTATCAATTTCTGCAAAGAAGCCAGCCAGGACTTTGCTACTGACGGCCTTGAATCTGTAGGCGAACTTGAAGATGGTGGGAAATGGGACATTAACTGAACTCAGAAGAGAATTAAAAAGAAAACTTAGACATACAAACCAAATTATGAGATATCCAAGAAAGAAAGAATTTGACTGAAAAACACAACAAGGGATACTAAGAAAAGGCATGAAAATAGCCAAGAAAATATAAAACTAAAGAGGTGTAAAGAGGGAAAGGGCCTCACATTCAGGCTTCGGCAGGACCCTCTGGCTGCCAGGGTTGCGTGGGGACAGGAAAGCCAGCGGGTGGCCAAGGGGGGCAGCATGAGGCCCAGAGCAGGCGGGATGCTCCAGGGAGGTGTTAGTGCCTCAGAGGCGAATCGCACTCTCTCTGCTCCTGCCTCAGCCTTTGTCCCCGGAATCACTGACCTCATTCCCAGCCCTGGCCCCTGTCTGGGCCCAAAGGCTGGTCCTTCGGGTCATCACATGACCTGCTCGCTCGCTCTCATCGTTCAGGTCCCACCTGAGAAGTCACTGCCTCCCTGACAACTCCCCTGTCCCCCATCTAAGGGGGCCCCCCAGAACTTCTGAGGTTCTGTTAATGCTCAGTCCCACCATCCAGGTGCTGGTTTCATGGTGCCTGCACTTTGTAGAAATAAGTGAAGTTGTGCATTTGTGATCCAGGCATCTGCACACCACTAAAAGTGGACAAAGAAAGCGGCCTCCCTCCCTGGCGTCTGTTCACAGTGCTGTCCCCCAGACACTCCCGCACCTGTCTCTCTGTTGTGTCATTTCTTACACACACACACTCCCACTAGAAAGCAAGCTCTGGGACAGCAGAGACACACCCATCACGGTGACCGCTTCCACACAAGGGCATGGCACACAGTGGGCACGTAACAGGTGCTTGTGTAAAGAACACAGGAACGCCCACCTGGGGCCATGGGGAGGGGCAGGCAGGTGTGGGTGTGAGCCCGACGCCTCACCTTCCTCTGCACCTTCTCCAGCAGCTTGCTCTTGGCCCTGACCTCCTCCTGGATGGAGTCGTACACGTTGAGCAGCACCCAGTCCCCACTGTCCTCGTCCGAGTTCTGCAGGGCCGCCACCAGCTGCTTTCTGCGCTCGTCTGCGTAGCGTTTCCGGTGCTTGTGCTTCTCCTTCAGGTCCTTGTTCTTGGCCTGCTCCCCACCGACCACCTGCTGCTCCAACAGCTGCAGACTGCGGCAGGGAGGGGGAGCCAAGGTGACGACGTCTGCCAGTCACTCGGCACCTGCCGTCAGCATGGCCACACGGGATCCTTCCAATGCCTGACTTCACAACAGCGTGAACTGAGGCTCGGAGAGGCCACGCCGCTGGTGCAGGGTCACGACCAAGGTTCCTACCGGATTACCTAACTCGGCCACTTCCGGGGCAGCGCCCAACGGGAAGGGTGGGAATCTCCCCGTGGACCGTGAGCTAACCCGCCACCCCCCGCCTGCCAGTCTGATGGTCGACAGCAGCCCAGGCCCCCGGCTGTCCGCCCAGGCACCCTGCGCGATCAGAACGAACCCCGGCCGTGAGAATGTTCCACACATTCAGTGCACTCGAGGGCATGACGCTAAGCAAAGTCAACCACACGGAGAAAAACAAAGACCCTGCTCTCTGCTCTCACTTATCTGTGGAATCTGAAAAGCAAACCAACCAACCAGCCAAGCTCATGGACACTCAGAACAGTTCAAGGGTTGCCAGAGGCCTGGTGCATGGGTTGGTGGAATGGCTGAAAGTGGTCAAAAGGCACCAGCTGCTAGTTGTAGGCCCTGGGGCTGTGCTGTGCAGCATACAGCCTATAGTTAAATATACTGTCCTGCGTCCTGGCTGGCAGCTCAGTTGGTTAGAGCACTGTCCTGATACACCAGGGTTGTGGGTTCGATCCCTGCTCAGGGCACATACAAGAAACAACAAATGAACACATCAGTAACTGGAACAACAAATCAATGTTTCTCACTCTCTTCCCTTCTCTCTCTCTAAAAAAAACCCACTATATTATATATTTAAAAGTTATTAAGGAAGTAAATTTTAAAAGTCCTCATCACAAGAAAAAAATTTTGTAACACTATATGACAATGGCTGTTAACTAGACTTGCGGTGGTGATCGTTTTGCAAATGCGGAATCATTCATGCGCAAGGCCGCACAGCCAGTGAGGAAAGCCCGGTTCCCCAGGGGGTCCCAGAGGTACTGTCCCCGGTGGGAGCAAGTTTTCCACCAGGGGTGGCACTGGAGGCTCGGCGGCGCCTGAGGAGGGCCTGTTGTCACGCTGACCTGGGGTTTCTGAAGCCTAGAGGCCAGGCCCTGCGAAAGGCGGGTGGCAACAGCCCTTGACCTTTCCCCAGAGCAGATGCCTGATGGGACACGGTGGCCCCAGGCAGCTTCCAGAGCAGAGCCCTGCCTGCCTGGCTGACTCCAGCCCCCTCCCGCCCCGCTGCGCCCAGACAGAGGATTGGGGCCCGCCAGGAGGGAGAGTTAGGTGAGGCCTCCGTGGGGGGTTGGGAAGAATCAATGGGCGCCCCCACTTCTGGAGCATAGCTCCTTCCCACCATGCCACCGAGGGGTCCCACCAGCCCCAAGCTGCGGCACCTACCGGGCAAGCACCTGCTGCTGGTCCACGATGGGCGTCAGGTCATTGGTCAGCACTGCCACCTCCACTCCCACACTGTCCCTTTTCAAGTTTGTCATGGCCGGAAGGGGCTGCGCCTCAGGCTCGGGCTCCACACCAGGACCTGTGGCCAACACCACCTCTTTGGCAACTTCTGGGCCCAGGTCAACCTCCTGAGCACAAAGAGAAACCTAGATGGAGGTGGGGAGGCCAGCCCCTGACATAAGCTCACAGTGGCCTCAATCCCACATGGGGACAGTACAGCCCTCACATCTGGATGGCTCACCTGTGGCTCAGGGACACTGGTTATACAAAAATGCACCAATCCAGTTCCAGCTGCCACCATGTCCACCACCACCCTCCGGCGGTGTCCCGGTTTCCTCTCCCGCCCACACGGCACCGTCCAGGCCTCAGCAGGCAGCCTGTGCCGTTTTCTTTAAGTACAAAATGACCACGCCCTTTCCTGATTAGAGCCCTTCACGGTTCCCACTGCATTTACAATAAAACCCAGTTTCTCCCACCACCAGCCGCACCTCCGCACCTGCTCCCTGCACGCCCCCTGCCTGCACCTGTCCACCCTGCTGCTTCTGGGGCCCCATTTTCTGTTGCCGAGAAAGTCAAGACCTTTCCAAGCTACAGGACTTCAGCACTCGCTCCTCCCCTGGCCCCTTCCCCCTCCCTGGGTCCCATCTCAATGTCACCTTGTGGCCAGGGCTCCCCTGGCCACCCCATCGGCCATTTACTGGGAACTCTACAGTGAGCCTGCTCCTACCCAGTGATCGGGTCCAGAGGTGGGCAGGTAGGTCTCTCTCTCCAGAAACGTAAGTAGACTTAAAGCCTTCCTCTCGGTCCCCGCGGCCTGTTGCGCTCTCTTAAGCAGAAAAGGGTGGGGTCTGAGAGCAGCCTTGTTCCCAACGCCCCCCTTGCCCTCGGTGGGGTCCCTGAAGTGACCCAGGGCCCCCAGACACTGCCTGCAGCCCCCGCACACACCGGCATCTCTCTTTAGAGAAGGCTGCCAAGGCAGAGGGAAGTTTGAAAACCACTGCGGAACAGTGGCCTCTTATTGACATTGACAGTGGGAAGCACAATAGCTCCTCAGGTTTGTTTCCTGCTTTGCCATAGGCTGTCTCTGAGGAGCTGGGGGAGGGCTGTCCCTGTTACGGATGGGGAAACTGAGGCCCGGAGAGGGAGGAGTGAGTGAGTTGTCACAGGAAGGACGGGGCCCTGGCAGCCCCCCATCACACAGAGGGCCAGCCCGGGGATACTCACAGTCCCAGGCGGGAGGTCGCCCTCTGCCTCAGCTTCGCACCTGAGGTCGCCGGGCTCCAGGACATCTGTCCTAGAGGGGCACTTGCAGGAGAACAGGGTGGGGGGAGGGGGGAGAAAGAGAGACTGTTGGGCCAGAATCAGCCTCTGCTCCCCGGCCCCAACCTCCTCTTCGGCTTCCCAACCCCACCCCCTCCTCCTGCCTGTCACTGTGCAGAGAGGGGCAGGAAGGACGGTGATGAGATGAAGGGAGAGAAGAGGGAACAGGTGAGGGGGAGACAGGGCGTGTTCTGAGCACCGCGTTGCCTCAGGTGAAGCACCCATCAGCCCCATTTTACAGATGAGGAAACCGAGGCCCAGGAAGTGACTACTCATGGTCACATGACTAAGGGAGGGGCGCGGCTGGGACCTGAACCCGGTTCTGTCTGACTCAAAGGCCTGTGCTCTACAATCCCCTCCACACACACACCACACCTCATCACACACACTACACACCACACCACGCCACACAAACACACCATGGAAAGAAAGGGCGAAAAAAGCAAAGGGAGGAGAGGAACAAAGGAAAGAAAAAGGGAAAAAGATGTTCAACATAAAAAAGGGGGTTGAAAGGTGAGAAGACTGACATGGGGCAGGTGGAGGAGGAGCAGTGGGGCGGGATGCTCGGGTGGCCCCTGAAAGGTGGCTGGGTCCCCGCAGCCCCCCAGGCCGGCTCCCTGCTCTGAGCCTGTGGGAGCAACAGGGCTGACCACGGCCTCTTCCCGCTCCCTAAGTCCAGGAAGGTCAGTGTAACCATGGCAACTCAGCAAAGTCTCCTGCAGGTGACCCTCCGTCAGCAGGACAGGTGGATCTCCATCCCAACCGTCCTACTGATTCACAGAGCAAGACACAAAGCTTCTCTTTCCCAGGCCCCCGAACAGCGGTGCCCTGAGCTGGCCACTGACCACGGCCAAGAGATGGCGGAGTCGGACCTGGTGCCACAGAGGCGAGACATCTGTGCATGCCCAGTGACCCCCGTGCCCCCAGCCGAGCTCTGTCTGCTCCATTTCTGCCTGGAATCCTCATGACACCAGCTACCTGCACGGGGACCTTGGCTGCGTCCTCCCGGGGTGCGTCTGCCCGGGCCACGTCCACCCGGGCCACGGTGGAGGAAAGCAGGGCCAGCTTGGCTTCCACCTCGGCAAATGGGTCGTGCAGGCCTGGCAGCAGCTTCAGGGGCATCAGCTGGGGCTCCTCTTCCTGCAGGAAGGGCTCCTCCCCCAGGAAGTATGTGCCCTTGGCCTCCACCTCAGGCACAGAGGACAGCTCCAGGTTGGAGGGCTCCTTGAACCCAGGGAAGGCCTCGGATATGGAGGTCTCTTCGAGTGTGGACGACTCATCAGACCCCAGAGAAATCTCAGACCGGGAGGCCTCTGCCCTGGGCAGACAGTCCGTCCGGGAAGGAAGCCCAGGCTTGGAGCCACCCTGGCCGAGGGGCGAGCCGGCGGCGGAGCAGACCTCAGGTTTCACAGCTGCCTCGTACTGGAAAACGGGCGAGGACTCCGACAGGCTGGCAAACTCGGCCCTGGACGTGACGTCGGCCTTGTAGAGGACTTCTGCCTTCAGGACAGCCTCTGCGGATGGAGAGCTTCCTTCAGCTCTTCGAAGGTTAGAATGTGGGGAACCTTTCCTGGAAGCTGGTCCCGAACCCACCGTTTCCAAGAAACCACCTGAAGAGTCAGAGCCTCCCAACCCCCCAGACGCGGGTTCCTGTCTCTGCCCCTCCCCCCTCCCCCATTGGAACTCAATCCATCTCCTTCCAGCTCCCCCAGGAGGCCTCCCAACCTGCTCTCTGACCCCCCAGCTGTTCCGAGTGTGGCTCTTTGCCCTGCCTTGGGGCTGCTTGTAACAAGAAAGCCGGTGGGTCTCACTGCCTCCAAGGCTGAGAAGCAGATTTTTACCCCCAAGACCCCAGGGGGTGCCCATTACAGTGTCCGGCTCGCAGCTCTTGTCCACGCATGGGGTGGAAATGCAAGGCCCACAGGAGTTCAATGAACACAGCAGATGAATGTCAGAGGGGACAAATAAAATCACTCCGAGAACTAACATGCTGACTGGACAGGGTGAGCACGCTGAAGGACAGAAAACGCTGGAACCTGCCCCTCCCCGCCTCCTCTGGGTCTGCACCGAGCGGCACCTTCCTGCCAGTCTGACGGGACTGTGACCACGCAGACGCCCCTGGTGCTCCCAGATCGTGGGTGTCGGACCATCTCCCCCAAATCCCATCCGATCCCCATCTGTCACATGTGTCCTGGGCTCCCCTGAGACGTTCCGCACGCCCCCCAGCTCAGTGCCCTGCCCCGCCCCTCTAAGCCTCGGTGTACACGCTTGCAACACGGGGCTTCCACAGGTCCCGGCTCCCTCAGGAGCCCGGTGGAAGCACCTACCCAGTGCCGGGCACATGGCAATGAATGCCCAACGAATGCTACCGATGATGCCCAACAGTATCCTCATTACCAGACAGATTTTAGTGTTTGGGTGAGTACCAGGAAGTCTGTGCTGCCTGGTAGCGTGTGTTTGAACAATAGTGATGGGCAGAACATTCTAGAATGTCAAAAAGAAGATAAATACTTCCAGGAAGAGTACAGTTCTTACTAAAGATTGAATACTTACGATGGGATGTGGTAACAGACGGACTCAAAAGTGAGAGGCAACTGTAGAAAACGCAGAAACTCTGCAAAAGGACTTGCCTGTGGAACCCGGGGAATACGTTACAACCCTGAGTTGGCCAAGGCAGCACGATGCGGTGCTGTCGGTGAGAACGCTGGCTCTGGGTCAGGCTGTCTGGGTTCTAGTTCTGGCTCCACTTTACCTGCTGTGTGACCTGGGCCAAGCCACTTACCCTCTCTGTGCCTCACGTGCATCATTTATGAAATGAGAGGGATTGTGGTACCTACCTCACTGGGCTGCTGTGAGGAGTAAACAGAACTGACCCTGGTGCGTACACAGTGCTCCACACATGTTGGTCAGTAAAATGAGGAGGGAAGCCGGCTGCCTCCCCCGGCAGCCCGACAGCCCCAGCTGGGCGCCCACCTGTCTCCTTACGCAGGCTCTCCTCCAGCGTGGACAGTTTCACGTCGTAGGAGTTGCGCATGGCAGTGATGTCCTCCTCCAGCCGGGCCCGGGACTCCTGCTCTGCCTCGTAGTCGGCCCGCAGCCGGGCCAGGCGCTCCTCGTACTCCTGGGGGCGGGGGCAGGCGTAATGCCATTCAAGCAATCCGGAAAATACAAATAAACCAAAACAACAGAATTAAAATTACCTACCCAAACCTAGGACATTTATGGCTGGTGAAGGCCCTTCTGAACTCTATGTGTTTTTAAGCGTTGATACTGTAACACGTGTATTTGTGTCGTCTATTTTCTCACCCAGCAGAATATCATGATCACCTTTCCTCAAAAACGTGTTTTAACCAAACGGTCCTCACCCCCATCCTTCCATTCACCCCACCCTCGCTTCCTGCCTCACCCTTCACAGAGACACTGAAGCCAGCACAGCAACCTCCCCACCCTCCCAGGGCCACACCGTCTCCTCCACCTGCAGGCTCACCCGCCCAGAGCTTGGCATCCTCTCTTGTGACAGCGAGCAGTGAAGCATCTGAGGCTGGGCCACCCACCTGTGGCCTTTGCTCTTTCTGTCCCCACCCCCCTCCTACACTAGGGACTCCTCCCTCGGCTCTGGACCATCATTCCCAGCAAGTTACAAGACCTGCTCTGTTACTTCCGATACTGGAAGCAACGAAACTCTTCCTCAGCCCCTCCTGCGCCTCCGGCTGCAGTGCCCAGTCAGTGCTCAGAATACGCTGGTGGGTGGCTGGATGGGGCTAGGAGGTTGCAAACCCCAACGATGGGGCCCCTCTTACAGCAGCAGGGGAGCTGCCACTGTACCCACCCTGGAGACGAGAAGGAGGCTCAGAGAGCGCACACAACCTGCCGGAGGGCACAGCGCCAGTAAGATCTGGCCTTGCAGAACGTAAAAGCTGGGCGGATCCTAGGCATCTTCCAGTTCAAATCCCGCCCCATCCGGCTGGGAGACTGAAGCCTACAGTCACCCCCAACCCCAGCTCAGGGCTGAGTCCATTCCTGGCCCAGCACTCTTTCCACTCCACACAGGGCCACCTCCCTTCTCCTGAGTGTCCTGACTGGTTCTGGAATGGGAGGGAGAGAGGACAGACACCCTCGACCCTTCCTCCAAGTGCGGCTCACAGAATAAACTCGAGCGTGAGAAAAGACACTCGGTGGTGGTGGCCTAAGGCAGCAGTGCTCCCATGCAGGTCTGCTGGGCTGCCCACGGGGAGGAGGCGGGCGACCCGCCCATTCCCAGAGCAGAAAGACCCTCCAGCCCGCTCAGCAGCTCTTCTCCGTGGTGACCACTAGGGGGCGGTGCCTGTCCACCCAATGGGTCGTCCCTGGGGAGGAAGCTTCCAGCCCCGCTGCGGGCCAACCCTTCCCACCCCTACTGCTGTGTGACAGATGACTCCTGTTGCTCTGTAATTCCCAAACCCACTCTGAACCCCTAAGGTTTGATTCCTCTCATTCTGTGGGCGTGGGCTCAGCCATCCTCAAGGGCCCCCGCCTCACCCTGCCCAGGAGCTCCCGCCAGGGAAAAGGCAGACGGAGCAGCTGAGCTCCCAGAACCTTCACAGGGCCCCTGCTGAGCCACTGCCTGGACAGCCTCTGCCTGTCACGGGCAGTGCGTGGGCACTTGCAGGTACGGTCCTCCCAGCCCTCTAGCCCACAGGACTGAGGCCTCCAGGCCTTACCTGGTCTGCCCCCAGAGGCTGGGCCCCAGGCCCCCAGAGCCAGACCAGGGCCCCCAGGGGCCTCAGGCTGGTCCCACCTGAGGTCATAGTTGAGTGGCAGAGGCCTGGCAGCAGACACGTCCAGGCCCCAGTCCCTGCAGAGCTGTCCCTGCTGCCATTAGGTTCTCCACCAAGAAAGAGCCAGAGCCCTGAAGGGCCTATCAGAACTCAATCCCTACCACGTGCTCAGGTCTCGGAATGCGGCCTTTAAAGGGCAGGGAAAGCCAACAGAGCCCGGGGTGCGGACCAGTCGTTAGGAGGCTCTGCCTCATGCAGCTGAGTCGAGGGCCCTTCTGGGGATCAGCTCTGCATCTGTGGGTCAGGGAGCCGCCTGCCCTGCTGGTTCCCAGGGACCCTGGGGCCCACGTGTGGGAGGAGGGCACGGTGACAGCTTCTTCTGGGAAGCCAACAGGCCACTTATCCGCTGTCAAACAGGCACCGAGGGGCCCCACACTGCCCACCCCAGCTGCCCTGCTCTCAGCCCAAGCTCCTGGGCACCTGCTGAGGGGACCAACTCCTTGCGCTCTGATCCTCTCGCCTTCACACAGGCCAATTCTACCAAGAGGAATGCCTTCTCCGCTTCCACCAATCGACTGCCACCCCTTCTGGCAGTGCTGAGAAGCGAGCGACCGTGTGCCTGTGGACGCCTCCGCAACCCCTTCTGACCCGGATGCACTGGACTCCAGAGTCAGGGACCCGAGTTCCAGTCCCAGCTCCGACTCCCCTCAGCTGTATGACCTTGGGCCAGTCATGACACCTCACCGAGCCCCAGCTTCCGGAGCTCCACAAGGGGGATTGCAGTTCCAGCCCCAAGGCGATGGTTGGGGGAATGCCGCCGCTCTGGAGATTGTCGCCCACCAGGCCCCACTGGCCCACCCATTCTCCCACCTGCTCCAGGTCTCACCTCCCGGATCAGCTGCTTCTCAGCCTCCGTGTCGTGCTGGGTCACAGGCGGGGGCAGCGGCTTCTCCTCAAGCTTGACAGGGTGCAGAAGCACCTGACTGGTTAGCAGGGCTGGGAGGAAAACAGAAATGAGGGGCTGTGGCCGAGGGGGACACTGTTTCAGGAATTAGGCAGCAATCCATAAAGACAGCCACATGCTCATTCAAAAAGACTATAAAGTGTTGAACTTATTTAAAGCACATCTCTAGGTAAAGAGTTAATTTACCCAGTCATTTAAGAAATATTTTGGCCCTGGATGGTATGGCTTAGTGGTTTGAGTGCTGGCCTGTGAACCAAAGGGTCGCTGGTTTGATTCCTAGTCAGGGCACATGCCTGCACTGTGGGCCAAGTCCCCAGTAGGGGGCATGTGAGAAGCAACCACACAATGAGGTTTAAAAAAAAAAGAAAAGAGAAGAAATATTTTGGGGGGCTTCTGGTCAAGAGGGAGGCATAGGTGGACATTCTTTGCACAACCACAGAGAGAATTACAACTAAACCTTGAAACAAATAACACCCAGAATGGTCAGAAAATTGAACTGTACGGAAGCCTGACAATGAAGGATTTAAAGAAGCCGCATTCATCCAGACGGGCTGCAGGGGCCAGAGACAGGCGAGGGGCGAGGAGACACAGTGTGGCACAGAGAGATGGCAGCAGGGGCAGAGAGGGCAGTCCAACATTCACACCTGGTGGGTAAAAATGAGGACGGACACCTTGGGAGCCAGTGATCCCAGGCCAGACCACACAGCCCAGAGTTTCAGTGCCAGGAAGCTAAATTCCCATAACTTCTGGCTGTAAAAACCAGTGGGGGTTGGGACTGAGGAAGAGATGGGAGGATATGCAGGAGACTCTGCTTAAAGGGCCCACACACTTTTAGGAACGTGTGCACACCCACCCACTCTGGGATTCAGCACCAGGACAATAGCTGGGAGGGCACCAGTCACATACAGGGAGTAGGTGAGGTGACTGGAAACAGGGCAAGTGCCGGGCAAACCTTCAGAAACCAGGCAGCAGCACTGTCCCCTCTCCGAGTCCTCCCCTCACACAGAGCCACAAAGTGGTGAAGCAGGTTGCCCCGCCTTATGCTGTTACCTAAGGCCTGCCCCACACAATTTACAGGTGCCTTTTCTACAATAGGCCACGCTACTAAGACAGGGAGTCAAGGTAGCTCTACCTAATACACAGAAACAAACACCGGGAGGCTGCCAAATTGAGGAGACAAAGAAATATGGCCCAAATGAAAGGACAGAATGAAACCCCCCAAAAAGAACTAAACAAAACAGAGGTAACCAATGTATCAGATGAAGAGCTCAAAACACTTTTATCAGGATGCTCAAAGAACCCCTTGAACACAGCAATGGCATAAAAAGGACCCAGGAAGAAATGAAGTTTGCATTAAGTGAAATAAAGAAAAATCTACAGGGAACTGACAGTGGAGGGGACGAAGCCAGGGTTCAAGTCAGTGATTTGGAACACAAGAAAGAAATAAGCATTCAACCAGAGCAGCAAGAAGAAAAAATCGTCCAAAAAAAAAATGAGGATAGTGTAAGAAGCCTCTGGGAGAACTTCAAATGTAACATCATCCAAATCATAGGGATGCCAGAAGGAAAAGAGGAAGAGCAAAAAAACTGTAAAACTTATTTAAAAAAATAATGAAAGAAAACTTCCCCAATTTGCAAAGGAAATAGACATAGAAGTCCAGGAAGCACAGAGAGTCCCAAAAAGTTAGGCCCAAAGAGGACCACACTGAGACACATCATAATTAAAATGCCAAAGCTTCAAGATAAAGAGAGACTCTTAAAGGCAGCAAAAGAAAAGCAGACAGTTGCCTACAAAGGAGTTCCCGTCAGACTGTCAGCTGATTTCTCAACAGAAACTTTGCAGGCAAGAAGGGACTGGCAAGAAGTATTCAAAGTGATGAAAAGCGAGGACCTACATCTAAGATTACCCTACCCAACAAACCTATTGTTTAGAATGGAAGGGCAGATAAAGTGCTTCCCAGACAAGGTAAAGCTTCCCAGACAAGGAGTTCATCATCACCAAGCCCTTATTATATGAAATGTTAAAGGGACTTATTTAAGAAAGAAGATCAGCCCTGGCTGGCGTAGCTCAGTGGATTGAGCACGGGCCTGCAAATCAAAGGGTCACTGGTTCAATTCCCAGTCAGGGCACATGCCTGTTGTAGGCCAGTCCCCAGTGGGGCGGGGGGGGGGGGGGGCATGTGAGAGGCACCACACTGATGTTTCTATCCCTCTCTTTCTCCTTCCCTTCCCCTCTCTCTGAAAGTAAAAATCTTAAAAAAAAAAGATCAAAACTATGAACATTAAAATGGCAACAAATTCACAACTATCAACAACTGAATCTAAAACACAAACTACGCAAACAATCAGAACAGGAATGGAATCAAAGATATAGGGATCATTTGGAGGGTTGTCAGCTGGGAGGGAGAAGAGAGAGAATGGGGGAAAGGGTGCAGGGGTGAAGAAGCATAATTGGTAGGTACAGAATAGAGAGGGGGAGGTGAAGAATAGTATAGGAAAAGGAGAAGCCAAAGAACTTGTATGCACGACCCATGGACATGAACTAAGGGGGGGACTGCTGGAGGGAAGGGGGTATAGGAAAAGGAGAAGCCAAAGAACTTGTATGCACGACCCATGGACATGAACTAAGGGGGGGACTGCTGGAGGGAAGGGGGTACCCAGCGGAGGGGGGTAAAAGGGAAAATTGGGACACCTGTAATAGCATAATCAATAAAACATACTTTTAAAAATAGAAGAAATATTTCTTGAGTACTAGGCACTGGAAATGCTGCATTGAACAAAACAGACAAAGCCCCACCCCCACGAGCTGAGTTGTCAGTTGGGGTGGAAAGGCAAACAAAATAAACATGCAAACGCATGACGTGTTTACAAGGTGGTAAGTTCTAAGGAGAGACAGAAAGCAGGGAGGATGCCCAGGAGTAAGAACTGGGGGGGGGGGGGGGGGGGGCTGCAATTTAAACAGTGGGGAAGGGGGTGACCTCCTAGACCAGGTCAGAGGATAGCAGGGATCTGAGGAAGTGAGGGGCAGAGACGGGAAGGGCAGAGGTCCTGGGGACCGAGAAGGGAGCAGGGAGGGCAGAGGTCCTGAGTAGGCAGGGGCCTGGACGGTCCCAGGAGCAGCCAGGAGGCCAACATGGCTGGAGCAGAGTGACATGCCCCCAGAGCCAGGTGCCAGGCAAGCAGGGACAGCCCCTGTGCCCCAAACCTTCCAGAATGATCCAGACTAGCCCATCCTGAGCCATCTGTCCTGCCCTGGCCCAGGCTATCCCTTCCTCTCCCTCCCACCCGCACAGGCGCCGCCCCTGCATCCCTGCAGGGCGTGCGTGCCTCTCATTTCTAGGGCGACTGTGACATTAAACTTCTCTTTCAATGGCACCGATCTCTCCGTATAACCATCCATCCACCTTTAAAAACGAAGACCCGGACACAAATTATACAGCCCTGCTGGACGTCCACGGGTCAGAGCCATGCAAGTGGAGATGGTGTTTAAAGCCAGGAGACCCGAGAATCCACATTTAGGGTGAGGGAGGAGGGGCAGAGGGCTCCCCTGGGGTAACCCTGCCTTAGGTCAGGGAGCGGGAGGCCTCCTGGGAGGGGAGAGAGAGGTGGGGGGAGAACCAGGACAGAGTGTCCAGGAAGCAAGGGTTTCAGGGAGAAGGGAGGGGCTCAGCTGAGTACAGATGCTGAGGACAAGGCGACGCCTGCCTGACGACAACCCACTGGATGTAACTGCCAGGAGGGGGTCACCCGTGACAAGGGCGGGCTCAGTGGGACGGGGTGCAGCGCCTGCCTGGACTGGGGACAGAGTGAAAACAGAGCAATGGGGGCCAGTGGAAACAGACCACCTTCCACGTTCTGCTCTATGGGGAAGAGAGAAACACGCCAGTAACCAGAGGGGCTCGGGGGTGTGGGCGGTGCAGAGGGCGTCCTGCTCACGGTAAGTACCATGTGGGGGGAACGCACGGGGCTTCGAGCCAGACCCTTGGTTTAAGGCCCGACTACACAGTGCAAGCACCACGTGCCGGCTAACGAGCCTTCTGTGCTGAGCCCACGCATGCGTGGGTCATGTGTCAACCCTCCCAACTGCCTCACAAGGCAGGTGCTGCTATCACTGCCTTCACGTTATGGGTGAGGAACGTGGGGTGCAGAGGGGCTAAGCTGACTGCCCGAGGAGCCGGGGTACAAACCGGCTGTGACTGCTCAGCTCCCAGCCCTCTGCCCTGCCCTGCCCCGGTCATTTCAGCCCCTGCCCCAGAGGCTGCCATGTCTGGGTAGCCACTGGCAGGGCCGCCCCCACTCCTTCCTGGTACCTCTCGCCATCTCCCCCTCTAGGTTCTCCTTACCACCTTTGGGTGTGATGATGAGGGTCAGGGGAGAGGAAGCACAGAAAGAGGAGGAAAGCAGATTGCCAGAGTGGAATCCCATCGCAGTGTCCAAGGCCATTGCCACTCCCACCCCTGGCCATCTCCCACCACCCTACTCAGCAGAAGTGCCAGTATTTGTGGTTCCCCAAACGTACCTTATTATCTTGTGCATCTCTGCCCACAGTGGCCACTCTCATCCTGACAGGGAGACCTGTCATCCCCAAGACTCTGTTCAATTACCAGGTCCCACAGAATGGTCTGCCGGAATGTCCCCCCCCCCCCCACTCTGTCAGGAGACGAGGTGCCCGTGAGGGAAAGCCTGGATCTGAATCATCTCTGTGTCCCCAGTGCCCGGCACAGGTCCACACAGAGGGTACTCGGTGACGTGGATGGACGGTTGTGGGTGGGTGGATGAATAGATGGATGGATGGGTGGGGTGGATGGATAGGTGGGGTGGGGGGTGGATGGATGAATGGGGGGTGGGTGAATAGATGGATGGATGGGTGGTGGGGTGGATGGATGGGTGGGCGGATGGATGGGTGGTGGACAGATGGATGGGTGGGTGGACAGATAGATGGGTAGATGGATGGGTGGTGGACAGATGGATGGGTGGGTGGATAGATAGATGGGTAGATGGATGGGTGGGGGGGTGGACGGATGGGTGGGGGGGTGGATGGATAGGTGGGGTGGGGGGTGGATGGATGAATGGGGGGTGGGTGAATAGATGGATGGATGGGTGGTGGGGTGGATGGATGGGTGGGCAGATAGATAGATGGGTAGATGGATGGGTGGTGGATGGATGGGTGGGTGGATAGATAGATGGGTAGATGGATGGGTGGGGGGGTGGATGGATGGGGAGTGGGTGGATAGGTAGATGGATGGGTGGGGGGGTGGATGCATAGATGGATGGATGGGGGGTGATGGAAGGGTAGGGGTGGATGGGTGTGTGTGTAGAATGGACGGGCCGTGAGGAAGGTGGGTGGAAAGCTGGATGAATGGACAGAAAGACTCAGGCTTTTGTGTGCTCCCTTCCCCAAAGCTTTCTTAGATGAGAAAAAAGTCCTTCAGTTGCAAGAAGCTTGCAGACCTGCACTCTAGGTACAGGTTTCCACTGACGAGCTGAAGGCCAATCGCCTGGGCACAAGTGCTGCTGTCGTAAGGTGCCTGTCTGCAAGTGGGGTGGGACGTGGGGGGTGAGCCACCCAGCTGCTGAGCAGCACAGCATTCGATGCTGCCACAGAGACGGCAGGCAGACAAGGGGGTGACAAGGGAGCAGGCGACAGAGCCCCACCCCCCAGCTGATGGGATAGGACGGGCAGCCGCCGTCTGGGCTGTCACCCACCAGGACCCCTTGCTGTTCCAAAGCTATACTCCTGTGAAGAGAAAGGGCAGGGGCGGCACCTCCACATCTCCCAGGCCGAGCTGGAGGCCGGCCAGCTAAGGGGCCCTTCCTGCCACCTCCTCCCGAGAGGTCCCACCTGACAGGGTGCTGGGGCCCATCTGCTCTGCCAGAATTGCCTTGAGCCTCTTGATCTCCTCCTGGTACTCGCGCAACAGAGCGTCCTTGGGGTCCTCATTGATGTGTGGCTTGTTCTTGATGTTCTTGGCTCGGTTGGCGTAGCGCAGCGTGCTGAGGGACTCGTCGTAGTTGTTGTCCGCGGGTGACAGGCAGGCCACCATCAGTGTCTTGGTGTTGCCGCCCAGGGAGTCCTGCAGCAGCCGCGTCAGCTTCGAGTCGCGGTAGGGGATGTGCTTACAGCGCCCGTCCACCAGGGCCGAGATGACGTTGCCCAGCGCTGACAGCGACAGGTTGATCTTGGTGGCCTCCTTGAGCCGCTCCCCCGTGGCACCGGTCTTGGACTGCCGCTCACTGCCCGCCAGGTCCACCAGGCTCAGCTTGCCTGCCCGGAGGTGGTCCTTGCCCCGCTCATCTGCAGACAGACCAGGCGGTGGGCTGAGGGCCTTTAGACAGCCCCCTGCGGTAAGGGGGCCAGTCAGCAACCAGGCACTAGGTGCGCCCTCCCCACTGGGGGTCTCATTTCACCCCTGAGGGAGATGCTCTTACTGTGCCCATCTTACAGATCAGGAAACTGAGGCTCAGCGGGGCCCACAGGCCCCACAGCTATTAACTTGCCTCAGCCCCCAGGCTGTCTGACCCCAGGAAGCAGGGCCTAGGAGGTCTGCAGTATTCAATGAGAGCAGAAAACCTCTGCGGCTGCCTACAGATTTCTCATGAGGCCAAAGGTGGGGGTGTGGGGATGTGACTGGGTCACCATGGAGTCGTGCCCTTTAATGCAAAAACATTGGCTTTCAACACCCCAGCCAGTCCTGCCTCCTCCTTGCGGTGTGACCTTGGCAGAGCCAGGCACCTCTCTGATCCTCAATTCTCCCATCACCCAAATGGGACTAACAAGAGCTCCCCAGGGGAGCTGGCGGCCGGCAGGAGCAGAGTGAACTGGCGGCACGTTCTCACAGGGCCACCCTCTCCTCTGAGCACGAGCCCTGTCCTGCAGAGACTGGGGGCTGTGCCCTGGGACAGGGCCCCAGCGCTAAGGGTTACAGGAGCCAGGCACCTTCCAGTTGGTAGCAGGGACTCAGTGGACAAATTTTGGAGACACAGACCCGCGGGGGTTCAAGGTGGCTTCCACCCCTCAGCAGCTGGGAAACTCGGGGAAATACCCTGACTCCACGTGACCCTGAGCCCCTGCCTCGCTCTGTGAAGTGGGGACCAAGCCCCGCCCTGGGGGTTGTCTGCGGAAACGGACTGCGTCGGAAGAGCTCGGGGCTGTGCCTGGCCCTAGTGAGTGCTCGCTAAATGGGAGCTTGTTGCTCTTAACACTGTTAATCATTCTTTTCTGTTTTTTGGTCTCTGGACAATGGCGGTTCCAAATGAGAGGAGATGGGGGTGGGGCCAGGGGCTTCCTCCTTCGCTCCCTGGTGGCTGAAACCAGAAATGGCCCAGTTCTGCCCAAGAACATGGGAACCTGAAGTGAAGCGATGAAAGACTTGACTGGTGCCCAGGACAGGCTTGGACACGGGAGGGGCTTGATTCTTTGGGCTATTACCAAACAGAAATGAAGAAAGAAGAAGAAAGGAGAAGAAGAGGAGGAAAAAGAGGAGGAAGAGGAAAGAGTAAAAGGAGGAGGAGAAGGAGGAAGGAGAGACCGGGAACTGCCCTTCTGGGGAGCTCTTTGCAGAATGTGAAGGCACCTTGGTAGGTCTCTGCCCCCTGCTGCAGGGAGCCAAACCTGAGGAAACAACTCTAAATGCAGAAAAGGTTTTGAACTCCAAGACGTTCACCATGGGGTTCTTGACCCTGGAAAACTGGAGTTGACTGTGGCACGTGGCAGAGGACGGGTCTGGAGAGGGCCCTGGGTGACGCGCCGTCCTGCAGCCCCCACCCGTGTTCAGGTGCACTACATGCACAGAACATGCACAGCACACAGTGAGTGCCCGGTGGGGGCCGCCAACATTGCTACTGCTGCTGTCGGGCTGTTTGCCCCAGAAACGGGTCCTAGAAGGGGGCGGGGGGGCTCTCGCGCTTCCTCCAGGCAGCTGCAGCGTCTCTCCCAGGCACAGACGGGCCCCTGAGGTTCCAGGAGGCGAACTGCCTTGGCTACTGGGAGCGGGAACCGGCTCCGATGGCCCAGCCCCCTCCACCCCATCTGGTCCGGCTCCACATACCCACAGCGTAGATCTCGATGCTGATGGTGAAGATGGAGTGGGAGCGCGAGGAGTCCTTGTTCATCAGTGTGTAGCCGACCGAGCGGTTCTTCCAGCCTGTCTCCATGATGCGCTCACACTGGGCCACGCTGTGCACTGTGTGCATGGACAACCCCTTCACGTACACGCCCCTCTCCGGGTGCTCCTTCAGCTGCAGGCAGGAGGTGCAGGAGGGACCAGTGGGCCAGGGGTCCCAGAGGGAAGGGCCCCACTCAGACCACCTTTGTGCTCCTGCAGGCCTGATTAGCACCCCAAATACCCCAGGAGGTAGAGTTTGCTGCAGGTGGAGCCAGCCTCAAGCCCACCCCTGCCTGTTGCTTTGTGGGACCTGGGGGCCCTGTGGGACTTAATCTCTGTAAGCCTCAGTTTCCCCATCTGTAAAATGGGTATGAGATACCTCTCTCCTGAAGAGATGGCGAGGACTCAGTAAACAGACCCGCCCATACAGTGCTCAGCACAGTGCCTGGCACGTGGCAAGGGCTGCATGATGCCAGCTGCTGTCCTCACCGTTGTGCCCACTACTATGAAGGTGCCTTTCGGTTTGGAGGTGTTGGCTCCCCAGGGCTGCCACTGCAGTCACCCACGGGCTCCAAGTGCTCCTTCTCTGCCTGTCAACGCAGCTCTGTACCTCTCTGCTAGGCTCCAGGGCCATGGGAATGTCCCTGGAACCTTGGGTCGTGGTGGGTGAGGTGCCATGTGCTGCCCAGAACTCCTGATGGCCCACCGCTCCAGCGGGCTCTCGGCGCAGTGGCAGTGAGTGAATTATTTATCTGATTGCTCCCCCCTCACTTTCCAGGCAGCCAAGTAGTTGTGTTGCTGACACAGAGCTGTGAAATGCAATATTTTTCAAGTGTGAGAAGAAATACAACTACTCTGGCAAGAGCAGAGTGAACAGGACAAAAGTCTCTTGTCTGCTGGTCAGAGCCACCCGAGGATGCAAAGCTCTGTTCTGGGCAGCTTCAGGGCACCAGGCGGGGCTGGGCCCCTGCGGCACTGCGGTGGGGGGGGGGGGGAGGGGAGCACAGGCTTGGCCTCTCTGCGGAAGTGCAGGGAAACAGCCAGAGCCAGCCTGGAGGACTCGGCTTCATGGTGTGGGTAAGTAACCATGGCCCTAAAGGGTTAAGTGGCTTGCTGAAGGTCACACAGTTATTAGTGGCAGGGCATCAATGAGGTCACAGACAGTAGAAGGGTCCAAAGGGAAGGACTGGAGAAAGGATGGAGAATCCTGCAGTAGCTAAAGCTTGAAATGACAAGGGGCTGACCTTGACCTAGGAGGTCAAGGAGCTATGAAGCAGCTTCAAGCAGCTATGAAGAAGGAACAAAGAACAGCAGCAGGAGGCCCTGCACACGGAGCCTGGGGTGAAGCCAGCTGGATGCCTCAGCAGCACTTGGTGGCTTCATTCACACCCACTTGTGTGCCTGAGAGCTTTAAAAAAAAAATGATTCCAGAAAGAGAGAAACATCGACTGGTTGCCTCCCACATGTGACACGCACCCCAACTGGGAACTGAACCCACAACCTAGGTATGTGCCCCGACCAGGAATCAAACTCACGACCTTTTGATGCAGGGGACGATGCCCCAACCAACCAAGCCACACTGGCTGGGCCAAGAGGGGCTGTTTTTGATCACTGCTACACTCCCTGGAAGAACCTAAAAGGCTCCCTGGCACATAGTAGGTCTGGGTGAGTGAGCAGCTGGCTGCCCCAGGGCTTCAGAAAGAAGACCGTTCCGACTTAGTCAGACAGGCCAGGGACGGAAACCTGCTTCTGTCACTCGCTACTTGGGGAAGTCAATTTGCCTCTCTCGGCCTCGGTTTCCTCATCTGCAAAACGAGGATAATAAATCCTATTTCTCACAACTACTATGAGGATCAAGAAGGGAGCTAAAAGTTCGGGGAGTCCTTGCAGGGGGCTCAGTGAGCACAGGTCATGAAGAGGGTGAGGACAATCCATCTCTCATGAGCAGAATGTAGAGGTTGCCCCCCACGCCAAGTTTAGACCCAGGAAAGCTTGCGCCCCACCTCGTGATCCCTGGCTCCCTCCACCCCTTCCCTGACCTTGCCACCCCCACCCACCACAGAGCTGGGGAGGCACAGAGTGCCAGCCACCCGTTGTGCCCTGTTCCTTGGTAACTGCTCCTCTGGCTACGAGGCCACACAGTTGCCATGACAACCATCAGGGATGTGGCATGGCAGGGGCTGGCACACAGGAAGGAAATGTCCATCCTGATCTAGAGCCAGGAAATGCCCCCTGGAGGAGCAGGTGCTGACACTCTGCTGGGACCCCAGGTACCAGGCCCAAAGGAGAGGCCCTTGAGGGCCCCCCTCCACTGCCCAGTGCTGAGCGGGGTTCCATGACGGTTGATGGTTTTGAGGGGGGGAGGAATAACTGTGTTTCCCAAAAGCTCTCACTGGCCTTAGCTGATCCAATAACTGATTCCCAAGGGGCAGGCCCTACGCTGTGCCGTGTGGCCTGACTGCTTGCATCCACATCAGGTCCCCACCCTTTACTTGACTGTCTTTAGGCTAGTCTTACCCAGGTGCAGTGAGCCTCAGTTTCCCCGTCTGTAATAAAGGGTACGAACAGTGCCCCCTGCTAAGGCTGCTGTGAGGTTTACACGAGAGGCCGTCTGACCCCATCTGAAGCTCGGCACACCCTGGGAGTGCATCTGGCACTGGCAGCCCCCAGACAGCCTGGCCCACCAAACCTGAGGTCCCTGGCCCAGCTGGGGCGAGTGCCAGCCCTCGGCCCCTCAGGGCCAGGTTGACTGAGCTGTTCCAGGGGCCAGAGTATTGAGGAAGGGGAGGGGGTCCCCTGCTGTCCCAGTGTGAGTTGGTCCGGGGACCCTGATCCCGAAAGCTGGCCTTTAGGGACTGACACGTGGGTGCCACTCTGTGCCTTCCCCATCCTGTCTGGGGGCTGAGGTGCGAGTCAGCTGCTGCAGCTCCTGGAGACGGGAGAAAGACTGCAGGTGGGCGGTGGCGGCTCCTGCACTGAACCGCAAGGCACTGCTGTGTTCAGGAGAAAGCAGAGGAAGGGGTGGGGGCAGGTGCTGGTCTGGGTGGGAGGAGGGAGAGGGACGGGGAGGAAATTCACACCAGCCTGGACCTGCTGCAGCCTGTGGCCTGCCACCCAGTGAGTTTTTGTTGAATGAGTGAATCAGCATGTCCCTCCTTCAACTGGAACCTCATTTCTGCCTTCTTATTGTCCAGGCGTTTCCTATATAGCTGACCCCCAGATACTGGGAGGAAAGCACCTGACCACTGAGATCGCACAAGTTCAGGTACAACAACTAGTGGTTTGCTCAGTGACCTTGGCTAAGTCCCTTCCTCTCCAGAGGACTCAGTTTCTTCACTTGTACCAGGAAAAGGTTGGGTTAGAAACTCTCTAAGGATCTTTCCAGCTCATGTTCTTAAGGATTTTTTACGACATGACAGGTACAAATGTGTTTTTCAAAATAGTGGCTCCTGGAAGCTTGAGTTGTCCCACTGGGGCATGGAGTGGTCACCAGTCAGAGTGGGACTCACAGGCCCTCAAGTGAAACAGGGCAAGTGGGGGGTTAGGAGGCAAGTAGAAAGCGCTGCAGCTGAGCAGAGAGGCATCCCGCCCCCACACGAGGGACTCCAGTGTCCCGCCCAGTCTGGAGGACAGGGAGCGTCCCGAGGGTTGGGAGGGGTTCTGCTCCCACCCCACCCCACCCCATGTCTGTCAAGGTGTGTGGCCTGGGGAGAGTTAAGCAGTTCAGGTCATAGAAAATGTCCAACCCTGACTCTGTGACCTCCTGGCCCAGTGACCTTCTTTCCCAGACTAGTTTTCAACCTGTAACCTGGGAATCTCCATAGCAACACCCCAGGCTGATGCTCATTAGTGACTGACATTCCCCCAACTCGGGCATTCTGACTCCGACGGAGGTGGGCCAACCTCTGACACTGGTCATGGGCCTTTTGGACCTCCGGTTTGTTGTTTGGCCAGACGAGAAGCACCAGCCACCAGCGTCTGCCCCCACTGGCCTCTCCTCCTGGGACCTGACCAGGCCCACTCAGCATTTAAAGGGTCCCAGGGAGGACATGTAATCAAAGCCTCACATTACAATGAAGGTCCAAGGGTCCTGGTGGCCTCGCCACCAACTATCCAGTCCTGCTAGGTCACTTGAGCCTGCCAGGCTCCCCAAGGGATCAGCCAAGTCCTGCCCATCTGGACAGGCCCCTCAAAGCACCTCGTCCTGCTCGCGAGCCAGGTGCTTGTGGTGCTCTTTCGTCCTGGTTCTAGCCTCCTGGGAGGCTCAGGGCAATTGACAACCACGTGCCCATCAGTCCCGACTCCTCCCCGCTGGGTTCCCACTGTGCAACCGCCGGTCATATCGCTGCCGTTCTCAGAACCCCCATGGCCTGAAATAGCCTGCTCGCCGGGCACCGCGCACCTGCCACGAAGCCCCCTTCGTTACCCTCTTGAATCTCATGGTGACTCTGTGAGGTCACATTACTGGTCCTCAGGCCCACCCACAGCAGACCCCTTTTTCAAAGGAAATGAGGTCCCCAAATTTAAGCCCAGCAGGAACTGTAAAATGGGATATTTGACATTCAGGACCTTGGAAGCCAGATAGACCTGAGTTGAAATCCAAGTTCGGCCACCTACTTCTGTGGGAGACCTGGGCCAGTTGATTAACCTCTCTAAACCGCCCTCCCCACACCAGTAAACCGGGGAAAGTAGTATCTGCCTGACGAGGTCACTGTACTGAATGGGATAATGTGTGTAAAGCAGTCAGTGAACAGTGCGTTCTCAGTCAATGACAACCGTTATTACCTTCTTTTCAGCTTGAAGGCTCTTAGAGATTTGCAAAATAATGTCTTAGAAATGGAGCCCTTTCTTCAAATGATATCTACTGCAAAAGCCCATCTATTTCAGTAGATGTAGGTGGCATTACCCCAGGAAAGGTCCAGCCCCCCACATGCAGTAGAGGTAGGCCCATTAACCCCTCTCCTGTGTCATGGACTCGGAGGATACTCTCAAATTCGAGTTCACAATTCCCTCTGTAGTCTGAACCAGCACCTGTGCCCTCAGGATACCTTTCCCGTATCTCTCAGAAACCACCACCTGATGCCAACCTTCCCTCTTCTCCAGCCCCCACCTGCCTACGCCAGGTCTGCGCCCACCTCCAGCTTCTGCTTGGTGTCCGCCCCCAGCAGGTCACGAACATCTTCGTTGTAGATCTCCAGGTAGGCGGCCCGGACCAAGAACTTGGTATTCTCCGCGCACTGCAGGGCATGGGCAGAGGGAGCAAAGGTCGACACCTGAGCACCTGCTGCCAGCCCTGCCCCTGCCATCTGAGCCCGCTGCACCCAGATCACGGCGACTCGGGCTTGGGGGAGGTCAGGCTTCCCAGAATGGCATATTCTCATGTTGCTGTTGTCTAGTGCTGTCCCTACAGGCCTCAGAGGAAAAGAAATGGGAGAGGCTTCCCCGTTGTTCAGGTAAAGTGAAGCCGCAGGTGAGACCTGGACCAAGCACTGGCCCTGGGCTGATCCCTGGCAGCACTCTCTCCTGTGGGTCACCAGGTGAGTCCCAGGTGCAAAGGCAGTGGCCTCTGCAGCTGACCAGCATCCCAGCGCCCACTTAGCCATTCCCCAGCTGCAGGAATCTCTGCGAATCGCCACAAATGTCTCCAGGGCACTTCTTACCAGCAGCCTGGACAATGGGTGACTGGTTTTGACCCAGCCCACAGGGGCTCCGAGTCCCATCTTCCCCATCTCGAACACCGGGATGATAGTTACCTCTCGGGCCGGGGTGGGATAATAAAGGGCTTTGCACAAGGCTAGGTCTGTAGCAACCGCTCAATAAAAAGGGAAGCTGATCATCACAACCACTTCTCAAGGTCATGGTTTCCAAACAAAATGTTAAAACACAAAAATGGCAGGAGAAAAACATGGAACAGTGGGGGATCCTTTTTTCAATTTTAAGTCCTTCTCCCATCACCTTTCAGACTCTGATTGCATGGCGCAGTCGGACAGATGTGTTCCGGGACCACTCATGGTAGTGGCTGGGAAGCCTGCAGGCCCCAAGCCCCGGCCCTGCGTCTTCCCTCCAGGAGGCCCTTCCCCTCCCTCCAGACCTCGAGTACCTGGACGCTCTCAAAAACATGCTCAAAGGCCCTGGGGATGATGCCTCTCTGGGAGGGCGGGTCCGGCAGGCCCTGCATGGTGAAGGACTTCCCGCTGCCTGTCTGGCCGTAGGCAAAGATGGTGCCGTTGTAGCCCTCAGTGACGCCCTGCGTGGAAGGACCAAAAGGCCAGTGCTCAGCTGACTCAACACAGCCAGGCGCAGGCCCAGGCCCAGGGCTGCGGAGCTGTCCTACCTCGAAAACTCAGGGCCCCTGCTGGGTCTCCCATCCTGCTGTCCCTGGGCTGGGGGTGGGCAGGTGGAGATGAATACCAGCTCTGTCCTCAAGGAACTCACCGCCTGGTGGGGCAGGAGACTGTCCCCGTGTGTGGTGAAGAGCGTGTGTCCTGGAGCCTAGCCCCCTGCATTCAAGCCAGTCTCCACCCTTCACTGACTGTGTGCCCATGGGTGGTTCTTACCCAGGCACAGCGAGCATCAGTTTCCTCTGAAATAAAGGGGCGGAGCAGCACCTCCACCGAGGCTGTTGTGAGGTTTACCAAGAACTCCTGCACGCGCTGGGCACGAGGGGAGCTGGCGGGCAGCCAGCCGAGCTCACTGACTGTCTGCCAGGATTCGTGGGGGAGTGGTTCCCATACAAGGCAAGTGGAGGGGTGTGTGAAGCCGGAACTGCAGGCCTCGGGCAAGGAGAGGGAAGGGGGACCTGGCACAGCCTCCTGGGTAGGCAGAACTGGGGGAACTGAAAGGGTGGTTTGGATTTTGACAAGTGACAGAGGAGGCATTCCAAACAGAGGGGACAGCTTGAGCAAAGACAGAGGTGAGGGGCTGGGGCGAGGGGGGTGGAAGATGAAGCAGGAAGGAAGGTAGAGGGCAAACGGTGGGGGGGGGAGCCCTGGTCACTCCTCATTCACAGATGCATTTTTCACCCTGTAGGCACTGACACTCTTCCCTGTGTGGTCACTGTGCCCGACAGGACAGGGGACAGAGGGATGAATCAGGCCAACGCCCAGTCCCTGCCCTCACACATGAAGACACAAGTTCTAGAACTCAGCATGAGGGAGAAGGATGCCAGTGTCAGAACTGGGGCCCAGGGAGCTGCTCCCAGACCCTAAGACAGACCAACAAGGGGCTCCAGGACCCCAGGGACTGACTGCTGGCGTAGGGAGACCGAAGTCACAGCCCGCAGTTCCTCTGAGGGAAAGCTTCACTGTAATGGGCAGAAATGGACACGCAACTCTCCCCTGTCCAAGGGACCCTAACCACGAGTGGGTGGGTTCCTGCAGCTCATCAGAGGGCCAGGGGGCTGCACACCCATCCCCCAACCAGGGTCCCAGCTGGGCCCCTCAGTGCCAGGGGCCCAGGAAGTCCCAGGAAAAACGTGCTGGTTTAGCACCCAGAGTATCAGTTGTCACCCAGACCCTGAGAGGAGTCGACAGAACACAGGCATCACTGCACTGTCCATAGGGCAGCCGCTTACTAGCCACCGGAAACGCGCCCCGTGCAACTGAGAAATTGAATTTATTTTGGTTTAGTTTATTTCATGTGTACTTAAAAACTGAAGCAAGCAATGTAAAATATTTTTCCATTAAACAAACACACCTTGAGTTGTGCTTCATTTCATTTTAGCCCGTGACACTTCAGCATCCGAAGTGAGATGCACTATAAATGTAAACCAGACCAAATTTCAAAGGCTTCGTGTGAAGAATGTAAAATAGCTCACTAGCAGGTATTATGATGACAACATCTATTACGCTTATTGAAATAATAATATGTTAGTAGGATGGGTTGAATAAAATGCATTATTAAAATTAATTATGCTTGTCTCCTTTCACTTTTTAAAATGTGGCTACTAGAAAAACCTAAATTATGCACGCGGCTCACATCATATTTGTACTGGAAAGCTCTTGAGCCACTGGCCACATGTGGTTATTAAAATGTAACTTATCTAAAATTAAATGAAATTAAAATTCCATTCTGCAATAGCACTAGGCCCATTTGGCTACATATTTGTAGCTGATGGGCAGTAACCGGGCAGCACAACTACGGAATGTCTTTGCCACCACGGAGCCCATTGTGCAGAACAGCTCTGCTCCAGCGCGAGGCAGAAAACAACGTACACACGTTTTTAAGGCAACACATAAAACTTCAAAACAGTTTCATTGGTCGGCGGATACCTCCAGACCGGCCAGGGACAAGCTCTCACATGGAGAAAGTCCTCAGTGTCAGCCACTCTGAACTCCCTCTGGGGTCCTGCCACCTCCCCAGTGCCATTATTTACTAAATGACCTTTCATGAAATCAACTGTGATTTCAGTCTCTTTTTAACCTGATGACACCCTCAGCAATAATTCCCAGGAAACTGCATTACAGATTGGATGTGCTAAATATTTTCCTCCTTCACATGAAACACCTAAGTACTGAAATTGAAATACAAAGCATCGATCCTAAATTGCCTCATGCCCCCTTTCTTCCCCCTCCAAAATGAACAGTTCCATGTCTCCTCCAGAGGCCAAATTCTATGGCGTCTACAGCATTAATGTCTCTGGAATCCAGGCCCACCCTTCTCAGTCTGGACATGACAGAAGTAGTGGTACCTGGCCCCTAAGTGGGTCATCAGAGGAGACTCTAAGGCCATGGGTATGACGGAGGGAGTACGGGGAGATGCAAGGCCACCAGCTGGGAAAGAGCCCAGAAGGCCAGGTGTGGAGGGGAGGAGGTCCCGCTAGGACACGCTGAGCTGGTGGGTCTGGGGCGGAGAGTCCAAGAAGTCACCCAGTGACAGGGAAGGTCATAAACAGAGCCTAGATTTAAGGGGCAGAGAAGGAAAGGAAAAGGAAACGGAAAAGGAAAAGGAAAAGGAAAGGGGCAGTTAGAAGTCCCGGAAATCTTATTGCAATAGGACCTGGAAGGAAGGTCTCTGGGCAGGAGGCGCCTGGAGGTGGTCAGAGTCCTGGGAGAGCAGCGGGAGCCGACCAGCCCTAACCGCGCGGCTGCCCGGGCTCTCGGCCGCCTGGCTTGGGCTTTGTATACAAGTGCTGCTCACTTGCTGGCAGACAGCTGGTTGGAGCACGGACCCCACGCACTGGTACAGAAACCGCCCCTTGTTTGTTCGGTAACGCTCCGGGTCTCAGTTTCCCCATCATGAATGATGACCCCAGCTCCATACACCCACGGAGCCTTGTGAAGTTACACTTCAGCCCGCCCCAGGGTTTTGACTCTCTTGGAGGAAGAGATGGAGCAGCCAAAGTTGTTTCTCTGGGATGTTAAATGGCCCGCCAGCCAGAACAAAATTTCCGTGCTCAAATCTACTTAGGAAACGCTGGGTTAAATAAGTTACCAGTGTTAAATAAGTTACGCTGGTTTCTTTAGGCGAAAGAGAGTGCATGCGGCCCTTCCCAAACTGTTTCTCGCTTCCCGGGACCACCTGTGACATGCGTTTAACTAGAGATTCGCGGGAGGCTGGGAGATGTTGGAGGAGGGAAAGGGCCCTTGCCCCGCAGACTGCGGGAGCGGCTCCAGCCCCGCCTCCGCCAGACTCCCGGTGGGAGCTTATCAGTCTCCTCCCCGCCGGACTCAGTCTCCCTATCTGTGATACAGCTCAAACAAGCAAAAGCAGGGAACTGGTGAGATTCCCTTCCCCCCACCCCCATCTAGCCACCCCAGGCTTGGACGGGCCACTGCCTCTCAGGAAGCGGGAGGAGGATGAGGGAGAGGGCTCTGAATGCTGCGGGGGAGAAAGCAGAGGCCACAGCCTGGGAGGGGGATGGGGAGGAGGGGGATGGGGAGGAGGGGGAGACCATAAAGGGGTGGGGGAGGGGAAGATGGAGGGCGCGAGCGGGGGAGGAGGGTAAGGGGGAGGAAGGGTGGGGGAAACCCAGGACTCCTGGCAGGGGAGAAGGAGGCCGAGGAAAGTGGCTGGGGCGTTTAGAGAAGTCCTGCAGCTCTCGGACGAGGGGGGAGGGCAGGAGGTCTTGGGGCTGGAGTTCCTGTGGCGAGGGGTCGTGAGAGCTGGGGGTAAGGACAGCCGAGGCACCGGGGGCAGTGGAGACCTGGACGCAGACCTAGTCGGCGAGCTCCTGCTGCCTCCCGCCTGCACGGAAGTCTTCAGACCAACCTGCTAGCGTCCACCTGTGCGTCTCCAGAAGGGCCTTCTGGCCGGCTTGGGGGCAGTGCCGTCCCTCAGGACCCCTCGGGGAGGCCCCAAGTCCTGCCCCGCCGGTCCGCGGAGGCGGCGGCCTCCGGGGCGCCCTCACCTCCACCAGCGGGTAGGCGATCTCGTTGTAGATCTGCTCGGTGAAGTGGTCCATGTAGTAAGCGCCGTCGAAGGTGAACTGCTTGGGGGGCTCGCCGGCGGCGCCGGGGTTCTGGATGAAGCACTGGCCGCGCGCGGAGTCCACCGTCACCACAGACTGGCAGTTCAGCTCCCGCTCCCGCTGGTTCATGGGGCGGCAGCGCACCACCACCTTCACCGACTCCGAGGCCATAGCGCGCCGAACGGGCCCCCGGGGGCGCGGCCCGACGCGGACGCCGCGGCCGGGACACAGGGCCTCCAGGTAGCGGACCCCTGGCCGCGGTGACCAAGGGACGCAGCGGGAGCCAGGCGCGGGGGGCGGGGCCTCGCGGCCTGGGCGGGGCCGCGGCGCGGGGCTGTGTGGGGGGAGGGGAAACGGGTCTCCAGGGGGCGCTCCGAGAGGCGGAAGGGGGCGGCCAGGGAGTCGAAGGACCGGAGCCGGGTCGCCGCCTCCTCCCACGCCCGGGCTCGCCTTTCTCTGAGGCCTGGCCCGGGCGGGGGAAGTGGGGGATCCGCGCTGCAGGCGACCTCGCAGGACCCGAGCCCCCAGCGGCCCTCTCGCACCGTGGCGTTCGCGGTTGCCGAGCAACGGCGTTTCGTCACAGGTGGCGGCGCCCGTTCTCCGCGCCCGACAGCAGCCCGCGCGCGTGGGCTGTCTTCATGCGGGACCCCATTGGCTTTGCTGGAGCGTCGACCTGTTCGGTGCCGGGCGCTTCACACCCGTTGTCGTGGCGGATACTCATAGCCCCAGTTCAGAGATCGGAAGGCCAGGCCCGATTTCACCTCTGAAGCTGATGTTACTTCTGACGCTGCCCCTCGTTTTTTTTCTGAGACACAAAATTAAGAAACAAACACAACTTTGAGAGCCAAAGTCTTTAGCTTCAGAGACGGCCTGGCCTATCTCTGCTGGCTCTGCACAAGTCCCTCCAGCCAGAACAGCTTCCTGTAGGCTCTGCTTTGTACAGAAACGCCGTCAGCTACCTGCCAGGCATTGGGGTTGGCGCTGGGAGACAGCCCAGTCCCTCCCCTCCCTGAGCCCATGGTCCAATCCAGCAGGGGAGGCTGACGTCAAAGACAAATCTCCCACGTGCAAAAACCCCTTAAATGAACTAATCATTACAAACAAAAGGACCAGTTCTATGGGACATCCAAAAAGGGAACCTTACTGCCCCCCCCCGGGGGGGAGGGGAGCAGGTTTCCCGAGAGTGACAGAAGCTGAGACGCTAAAGTTGGGTAGTTAAACCAGGCAAAAGGTGGGGAGAACAAGGAGACCTGTCCAGACTATGCAAAGGTCCCGTGGCATGTTTGCAGGAGAAGGAAAGCCCAAGTTGCCAGAGAGGAGGACTGGAGTCTTTTTCTCATGGGAAATAATGGCTGGACGTTTTCGGCAGGAGAGATGATTTGAATATACCCATTCCTTTGGGACACCCAAGCCTCTGAGGACAGGACCTGTCCACTTAGAGGTACGCTGGTACACAAAAACAAAACAGGAAAACTGGGCAAAGACCTCACCTTTCAAAGAAAAAGTCTGCACTAGACAATCCAAAGAAATGCACTTTATTTCAAGTACATACAGTAAGGAGAACTGGACTGCCAAGGTGGCGATGGCTGGAACAGAGAATGATCTGTAACTAAGACACTGGTGCGTCTGCACACATGGGTCGAAAAGCCTTGCCCTATCTGTACCACATGACAAAAAATGCTGTGTGGAGAACGGTCAAGTGCTTTGGGAACATCCCTGACACCTAGATAACCTGCACAACGAAATGCATCCAGCAGGGAGGTGAGCTTTGGCCTAAGCCTGGGCCAGTTACCAGGTCCCCTTAAATGCGCGGCTCCAGTGCTGTTGAGGCCCCGAACCCCTCTCCTTGCCAGGGAAATGGAGGGACCGGGCCTTGGCCTGAGGAGATGGCTTCTGATAGAAATGGCTGAAAGGGAATCCTGGGTTCCCATTCGCATTCAGTACAGAATCAATGGTATAGTTCTAGTGAAATGAGCCCCCCAAGGGCAGCTTCCTCCCATCCCTTTTGACAAGAGTGACGAGGCCCCCAGCCAAGACCATTTTCTGGGTGTGGACTGTAAGCTGGGGATTCCAAGAATCCTTCCTTTCTCTTCTCTTGGGGCTGCCATCTTCCTCCCAGAGGTCGGAAGTCTGATCCGGCTCCCAGAAGGGGGAGAGGGTAGCCCTCAAACTCATGACCAGGCCTCTGCCTGAGAAAGCTCACCCCAAGTGAACTTGCTCCCTTACTTGGTAGATGTGTCTCTTGTCAGGGTGACTTGTAAAGGGGGGTACCTGGACCTGCTGGGCAGCGCATGCCCAGTGCCTTAGACTGGTCATTGCTGGAGATCCCTCTGTCCAGAGGCCTAGCCCCGTCCAGCAGGGCCCTCATCAGTTCTAACTCTGAATGGCTCTGCTCCAACTCTGTCCCCAGTGCAGCTGCCTAAGGAGGTGAGGTGGCTCCGGACAGACCTGGCCAGCACCACACTAAGGACAATGCCAGTGGTCACCCCTCTAGGCCTGTGGCTCACTGCAAGCCCCTCCCAGTCAAATGGCAAAAGGAAACGCAACATGAGTGTGTCTTGAAGGCTTTCAGGCACGTGGGGGAGCGGGGGAGGCTGGGCAACCTTTCCCAGTAAGCAGGGCCCACAACCCTGTGGTTCTGGGGAAAGACGAACCAGCCTTCCCAAGCAAGGTGCCGAGGTTCACACCCCTTTCTGCACACGGGTGTCCACCCCACCCATGGGCTTTGGGTGGCACTGCTCTTCGTTCGACCTGCCCCTTCCAACCCCCACTCCTCACAACTCAAGGGAAGACACCCTTAACCTCAGATGGCCTGTGACACAGGCAGCCCAGACGTGGCCCACAGGCTCCAGTCATCTGTGTCTCTCACTGGGGTGGCTCGTGCCCAGGCCTTTGCCCAAAGTGAGGACTTCCCCCCCAGACACCCCTCCCTCATTCATGAGCTCTTCGGAGACACCCAGTCAGGCAGGGCCCAGCCTCCTGTAGGGGGCTACACCTCCACTGTGAGTAGGCCTTCCCACCCACCCGAGAAAGCTCCAGCGAAGCCCAGAGAGGACAAGCAGCCAAAGTCACCCAGCAAGTTCACAGATGCCTGCCCTTCCTATAATCTCAAGGGGCCACGTGTTGTATAAGAAGCCATTGGCAATCCCCAATCTCAAGGCTCCCCCACACAACCAGTGAAGGGACAGAAGACTGGCCCAAGGGGCAGAGTGACTGGCTAGAACTGGTGACCAGCGGGGTGGAAGAAGGGCAGAGTGGCTGGCTGAGGCCCAGGGGCCAGGGTGACGCAGGGCCTGCTGGTGTGGGGGCTGGCCTCCTAGCCCAGGCCCTGCAGTTCTGCCTCCGACTTGGCGTGGCTGAGGGGCCGGAGTGTCCGGGAAGGCCTGCCCTCGGGCCTGCAGTCGTGCTCCTCGTAGCCAGGGTTCAGGCGGCCCATGTCGAGGGAGCAGAAGAGGCTGCGCTCAGTCCCAGCGTGATGCTCCACCAGGGCCTCCAGGCTGGGGAACTCGGCGGGCAGGTGCTGGGGGAGGAAGGGGCTTCAGTCCAGTGTTCCCTCCCCCGTGCGTGGTGCTGGGCGCCAACCACCCCCTCACGTGGGGCCCTGCCCCACTTAAAGAAGAGGAGGAAATCCGAGCTTCAGGAGGTCGCTGTCCTCCTCAGAGGAGAGCCAGACACCCTTTGCTCTCTTTCCTCTCAGCCTGGACAGGCCTGAGGCACTTGGCATGGAGGTGAGGATGCACATTTAAAGCCCCCGCGCCCATCCCAGTCCCTGGGGACCTGTGATCAGCCTAGACTCCAGACCGGGAGACACAGAGGCTGGAAGAGCTTAAGCCAGCCCCTACCCTCAGAGTCAGCTTCCTCCTCTGCTAAGACATGCATGAAGGTGTGGGAAAGCAGGCCTTTAAAAGCCGGGGTTCCTATAGAAATGTGAGGCACGACGCTAGCCCCAGACTCTGCTAGTGGTACCGTCTGAAAGCCCCTGGAGAGAGAGGGGCCCTAGGGCAGAGCCCATAGGTAGAAGTGGGGTTGGTTGGAGGGTGGGGGTCAATGACGAAAGGGCTAAATGAAGTGAAAGGGTGGAAAGAGCCAATAGGGGGCTGGACTGAGGGTGAGGCGGGCTCTGGCAGTTACAAGGGGAGGGGCCTGAGAGCAAGGGGCGGGGCCAATTGTCCACGCTCTTCACCTCCACGCAGTAGCGGCCCAGGTGGTTCCGGTAGACTTGGTAGGGCACGATGCCGCACAGCGTCCGGACCGACAGGCACCACTGGCCACTGGCACCCGGCTCAGGCCACAGCAGGAAGGCCCCAAGCACGTCTCTCCGCAGCAAGGCTAGGGCACTGGGCCTGGGAGGGCAGAGGGAGAGGCTGAAGAAGATCCGCACCCAGCTTCAGGTTGCTCCCAGGGCCATGGGACTCCAGCCCACAGCATCATGACCACAGTGCCTGTCCAAGCGGAGGACCCTGGGGGCAGGAAGCTGTCAGACGTCCTTTCTGAACAGTTTCTAGGGCGTCCTTAGCGGTCAACTTCAAGACCCAATGAGGAGAGTTTTAAAGACCTGACATTCAGGGCACTGTTTGCCCGGGGTAGAGGTCTTGACTCATCTGAGTTAGCTCACTGGATCTTCTCCACAGCCCCGCAATGACAGTCATTTGATTATCCCCACCTTACAGTTGGGAAAGCTGCCACCCAAGTCTCTGGCCCTCGGTCAGGGTCAGGGGCACGCTGCCCTGGCACTGGAATCTGCGCCCTAAGGGCAGGGGCAGCTGCAGAGCCCACTTCTCTGCTCGCCCCAAGGGAATGGGTGCTCAGCCAGGGCCGGCTCCTCCTACCTGGAGACGCCAGCGAAGGCCCAGATGTTCTCTGTCAGGCTGCCCTCACTCTCCATCAAGCATGAGGAGCCACTGGGACCCCGGGGCCACTTCTCCCAGGCAGCAGGAACTACGGAGACCACCCAGGGGTCAGAGGGAGTGAAGCTGTCTCACCCTAACCAGCCTGCTCCATCCCATCCCCACAGGCCCCCTGACCTCACACCTGCCTCCTCACCAAGCCTGCCCCTCCCCACTGACTGGTACACACCCAGCCCTCCGAAGGACACACCCACACGAGCACCCCCAACTCACAGCTGCTCATCAGTTAAAGCGCATCCAAGGCTATACTGCCGCCCATGCAAGCCCCGGGCCCGCAGAGCTGGATGCACACTCACATAGACATGAAACACGTCCCCCTACAGCACAGGCATCTGCTCAGAGGTGCAGTTGCAGCCTTGTAGGAACAGGCATTTGGCACCTCAACTCCCGCAGGGGCAAACAGGCCAGTGTCCCAGGGACACAAGGGGTGGCTGTGCATTCGCTACTCACAGGCCTCGCGGGCTGACAGCTGCAGCTGGGTCTCGTAGGTGCAGCCTCGGTAGGCCCCGGAGCGGATCACCTTGCTGCGGATGGCCTTCTTGCGCACCAGAGTGGGTGAGCAGTAGGGATTCCCAAGGCGGATGTGGCGGGCACCCCCATGACCTTCCAACAATGGCAGCTCCTTCTAGGGCACCAAGAGGGGCCCAGAGGGGCAGGCAGATGAGGCCCAGCCATGCGAGGTCAGGTGAAGCCCACTTCCTCCCCAAACCCTCACCCAGTTCCCTGTCCACTGCCCTGGCTGGGGTTGGGGTGCTGCGTACCCCACTGCCCATGGGCCCCTCTGCTGGCAGCCGCCGGAAGGACACCAGTGCATAAACATTCTCTGAGAGCTGATCGCGGCCAAAGGGCTCCTGTACTAGGCCAGGGCGGGCCCCGGGGCTGGACAGGGACTTCAGGGGCATGTCCCCTGTGGGCCCCAGACAGGGCTCAGGCTGTGCCCGCTCCTCAGGGTGCTGCAAGAGGTAAGCGAGCTGGAAGGAGCGGCAGAGCAGCAGGTGCAGGACCTGGACCTGGAGGAGAAGGGAGGGGCTCAGTTGAGGGGGGTCTCCCGGGGAATCCTTAGGCATCAACCCACTCCCCGTGGGGGCATGGCCTGGGATGCTCTTCCCCGTCAGAGGGAGAACTCCTCTTACCCCTCAGAACCTCACCACCATGCAGCCTTCCCTGCCTGAGCCGCTACTCTGTGCCAGGCGTCATGCTCGGAGCCTGCCCTCCCTGGGTGCACCACCCCATCCTCTGCATTAGGTCACGGCCCTCGTAGAGAAGTGGTTAAGAACCCAGGCCCTCTTGGGGCCCCCAGAACCTGGGCTCCAATCCTGGCTCTGTCACTTAGGAGCTGCGTGTCACCCGGGGCAGGACATGGCGCCTCTGCCCTGTTTCCTCACCCCACCTCCCTTTGCCCCTTCAATGAAGGAGCCCTGATTCCCCGGCACAGGCCCAGCACGTTACCACCACCTACACCATTCAAACACATTGGAGCCGTGGACTCCAGAAGATCAATGTCTCACCACCTGTCACCCCCGTGGCCAGCACAGGGCTTGCCGTCCACGGGTGGTGGCTAATGCCTGCTATGGGACGAACCCGGACCGGCCTCTGCTTGCTGAACAACCAGCTGCCAGGGCTCCGTTGTTCATGGTGGTCACGCTGGCTTGACATCTGGGATCTGCCTGCCCAACCCCTCGCTCTACGGGCCAAGAACTAGAACCTGGACCCAGTCTCTACTGTCACAGAACTCCAGTGTCTGTAACTAGGGACAGACCTAATGATGACAGAGTGTGGTTCATGTCACAGGACCCCTGAAGGGAGGGGCAGTCTGGAGGAGTCAAAGTGGGCCACGCAGACACGTGGGCTGAGGCCTAAAGGGCACGCTGGAATGTGCCGGGATGAGAAGGTGAAGGGCATTGCACGTAGGGAGAGCAGGAGCAAGGGTGCGCCGAGGCCTAGTCCTCACGGCACACTGAAGCCACGACTTGCTTTTGTGAGTCCTCAGGGGGCAGAGCGAGCCTGTGTGGAGAAGGGTGCACATCTCCAGGGGCCCCGGCCAGCATGGCTAAGCCCCCTGAGGCCTCTCAGTCCCTGGGACCCACGCTGATGCACAGCAGCCCTGCACCCCAGCCCCGGTCCCCTGCCCAGGCCCCAGTTACCTCTCCAGGCTGGCTGCCCACGAAAAGGTGACAGAAGAGCTTGCTGGCCGGGCTCTGAGGGTTCCGGGCCACGAAGGCAAACTGGCAGTCAGCTGGGCACCAGGTGGAGTAGAGTATTCGCCGCAGGGCGTGCGCCATCAGGAGCAGCTGGGGAGGCACACCAGCCCCTGTGAGACCCCGCAGCTGCCAGCCCAGCGTGCGCCAGGCCTGTGGGCCCCAAACACCTGCAGGCAGGCCTCCCTTGACTGCTCTCCGGCCTGCGTGCCCAGTTGAGGGCCCACCCAGCTTCTGGGGTGAAGAACACTTCCCTCCTTCCAGTCCGGCCCAAGCCCTGCTTCAAACTGAAACCCTCATCCTTCCCACGGTCACCGGGCTTCAGTCTCCTGATCCCGGCCGCCAACCTTCAGGTTGAGATCACCACGCCCACGTTACGGAACTGAGGGCAGAGCACCTGTGGCCCGTGGGGGTGACAGGAGGTAGCAGCAAGCCCAGAGGTGGCACTCCTGGTCTCCGGAGTCGGATGGCCGGGGTTTGAATCCTGCCTCTGCCACTCGGTCTCTCTCTGTTCTTTGTGTCTTGGGCAGGGGATCGTAGCTCTCTGAGCCCTTATGACAAGTGTTAGGTGTGACAGTACCCATGATGCAGCTGTTGGTGGGGTCAGTGAGACCTCGGGCAACTGGCACGGGACCTGACCCCGGGGCCCCTCAATGCACAGCTCGGGGACACCACCGGCACCAGTTCTAGGTAAGTGGCGCCCAGAGCTGTGTGGCATGTGCCGCTTGGCATGCAGTTGGTGTTCAGCAAACGATGGCTTGTGCCAGGATGTTGGGCAGTGAAGCAGCGCCCCCCTTCCACAGACATGGGGGGCGGGCCACAGCCCACTGGCCCATGCTGGGCAGGCCCATGTAAAGGCCCAGGAACCACAAAAGCATCACGGGGCTGGAGGGTCCTGATGCTAGTGCCTGAAGAAGATTTTGGAGGGCCGAGATCGGTGCGGAACTTGCCTGCTGCGTCTGCCCTGGGGGAGGCTCCGTGGGGAGAGGACTCCCGAGGCCCTGAGCAGGCTGGCAAGCCGGGGGGGCTCCAGGGGCAGCGCAGGGCCTGGGCGTAGGCAAGGGTGTCCTGAGGGAGTGGGACGCCTGTCCTGGGGGGCCCTCACCTGCACCCACACAGGCTCCTACCTCACCCTCCCCGCCGTAGATCTTGAGGCCCTGGAGGCTGAATTTCAGGATGACGGCCCGACGTCGGGGACAGTCCTGGGTGGGAGAGAGTTGGAGGGAGGCAGCCATTACCCGCCCAGCCTCAGTACCAGTCACTAGGGGCTGGTCAGCCAAGTGCCCCCTCACCTGCCAGGGACCTGAGCCCTGGACAATGGACCCCCAGGAGCCAGGGATGTATGAATGACTCCTGGCAGACCACCCCCTAGCCAAGGTCATCCCCCCATGTCCCACCTGTGCCTTCGCCTGTACGGCACAGGTCTCACCTCTCTAAGAGAAGAGAGTCCCTGGGCACAAGGGATGCAGCTCCAGGAGCCTGGGTGGGGTCCTGGCGGGGCCCACTGCTCAGACGGGCTTTGCTCCGGCCCCGCCCCTGGGCCTCACCTGCTCCATCTCTGTGACTGGAGGGTGGGCGGATCAGATGGTCTCAGGGATCAAGGGAGGATCCCTGCCGGGGAAATGCTCTCCCCAGCTCACCCACCTTCAGTGCCCACAGCTGCTGCTGCACCAGCCACACGCTCTCCTGGGTGTCCAGGTCGTCCACGGGGAAGGAGCCCACGTACTGCTTGGGGGTGGGGTGAGGCAGGGAAGTCAGACTCACGGCTCCTGACCCCCGCCCTCCAGATTCCCTGCAAACACACACTCCGCTCTGTGGGGGGAGCTGCGGACAGTGACAGGGAGCACTGTACTCCGAGTCCAGGCTCTGCTCCTTTCCCAGTGGGTGGCCTCGGTCTCACCACTCAACCCTGTGCCCCCATTTCCTCATCTGTGTGCACACACATTCCAGAGCCTGGGTCAGGGAGAGAAGACACAGAAATAGGTCCTCCCCACAGCTCCTCCCCACCCCCAGGACCTGCTACCCAGTCCACACCCACCAGAGTGCACTGGGGGGGGGCGGCCCCACCCACCTGGGCAAACTTGGTGATGCACCTGGGCCGGTGAGGGGCAGGGCCGCAGTCCGAGGCCCTCCGGCCCCTTGCCCCAGCCTTCTGCATGGCCCCCAGTGTGCCCAGCCTGAAGCCCCACGGGAAAGAAGGCTGCAGAGGGCGAGAGAGAGGGTTGGTTCCCGGCGGTTGAGCCACGGTGCTCCCATCAGACCCCAGTGAGCTCCTTCACTAGACAAACCTGTCCTGAGCCCTTGCAGTGTGCCAGTGTCCTAGACACTGGGGACACCAGGGACACGGGTCCCTGAACAAAATGACAAACTCCCTCCTGCCCTCATGGAGCCAACATTCTCATGGGGAAGAAAGACATTTAAATTAAGTAAGACATGGGTCCTGGCTGGTGTGGTTCAGTGAATTGAGTGCCGGCCTGTGATCCCAAGGGTCGCCGGTTCTATTCCCTGTCAGGGCACAGGCCTGGGTTGCAGGCCAGGTCCCCAGTAGGGGGTGTGCGAGAGGCAACCACACACTGATGTTTCCCTCCCTCTCTTTCTCCTGCCTTTCTTTTGTCTCTAAAAATAAATAAAATCTTTAAAAAAACAAGTAAGACATGGAATATGCTAGATGGTGATAAAGCAGAGAGGAGGATGTGACGCTCAGGTTGGGGGCTGACTGCAGCCAGGAAGGCCTCCCGGAGGACAGAGATCTCGGGAAACAGCCACAGGAATCCCGCCCTGGGTCCAACACCGGCACTGCTGTGCCCCCGGCGGGGCCACCAGACGACCGGCTGGGCCACAGAACCAGGAGCCAGGGAGTGGCGGGGGGCAGAGGGTGGCACAGCCACACCTGAGAGGAGAGAGGAGGGATGCGACGGCAGGGGTCCGTCCGCAGAGGCAGGGAGGAGTGACAGCAGCTGCGGCCCTTCGGGAGACCTTTCCAGAGCAGCAGGCCAGAGCCAGACTGAGACCAGCCTTACGTGTCGAGTTAGGGGATTTAGGCTCTGCCCTGTGGGCAGTGGGGAGCCACAGCAGGTTCCAGGACAGCAGCTCTGTGGCCTGCGGGGGTGGCCCATGGGCCGGATGGCGGCCAGAGCTGCTTCACAGGCCCCTGTCCGTGACCTTCAGCCCCAGGCTCAGGCCAGGGTGGGGGCACCAGCAGCAATCTGTTACTTCTGGGAGCAGCCACCGAGGGAAGAGCCGGGGAACAGAGGCTGCACCATCCCTGATGCCTTCCCTCCGGCGTCCTCTCCTTCCCTGCTTTTCTGGGCCCTCACGTCCTTGCGCTTTTTGACCCTGATCATTTTCCACATCATGCCCACTACCCCTTGTTCCTTCTATGTTTAGGTAAAGCAAACTTAGCCGTGTAACTGGCACAAAAGCTACCTGACCCCTGTTCCAGGTACAGGAAGGGGGCTGCCAGTAAACTTCCCTTTTGAAACTTCATAATCACATCATGGGCTGGGATGCCCTGTTCCCTGAAGTGATGGGGATCCGAGGAGGCAAAGACCAAAAACCAAATGGGGTGAAAGGGAGAGAGAGAGAAAGAACAGAGGCTGAAACAGCAGTTACAGAACTGGAAACAGTGAGGGATAAGAAAGATAAAAGAAGAAGGGATAATGGAGAGGAGAGATGGGAGGCGGGAGGGGTGAGGAGCACACTTCTCATTCTGCCGGTGCTGACACAGCTGCTCAGGCACTTGAGAGTGTAAGACAGAAAGGAGCCACACGGTTCACACACACACACACACACACACTTGCTCCCACATGACATGAGACAGCTGTGTCTAGGACTGCGAACAGCCTCTGCCCTCCAGACAGAGAGCTGCACTTTCCTAGGGACACCCTGAGTCTAGGCAGCGGGCGGGGGGTGGGGGGGGGAAGGCCAGGCTCCGGGCCCTCTTGTGAGCCCCACCCCACCCATCATCACCTAATCCTCATCCTCAGGAAACTGGACGTTTCTCCCTTCTTCTCCCTCACTCTCGAGCCTGGGGGGCACTTTGGCCACAGGCCTGGAGTTGGGGGCTGCCCAGGGGACCAGGGAGGGGCCAGGCTACCCCTGAATTGTGTAACAGACTCCTATACCCATTCCAGCTCAACCACCCATTTAGTTCCTGGACCAGACCTGCTCTTCCAAGGTTTTTGCAGGGGAACCTGGCTTGGCCAGCACTTCCCTAAAGGGACACATTTGGAATGAGGAGGGGCTCTTTTGCTCCTCGGAGACTTTCCAGGTGGCCCTGCTTAGAGACAGGGGACTGGATGGGATGACTTGCCTGAAGGGTTCAGGAACACAGGCCCCCGCTACACTGTGCCATAGCTGACTGTAGTCACAGGAAGGGCCCACCTACCTTCCTAGCGTTCTGGGAGACTGCTCAGCCTACAGACTCTGGGTTTAGCAAAGGGGGAGTTCAGGGGAGTGAAGCTACTTGCCCAAAGTCACACAGCATAACGGGGAGCAAGCCTGGAAGCAAACCCTGGTCTCTGGGGCTCTTCCTCAAGCCCATGGAGGTGCCCTTCTCTCAGATGCCCCTCCCCAAGCAGGGTGTTCAACTTCAGAGTTTGGCGGGTCCAGCTATCCAGCTGCTGGAACCTCAGGTGCTGGGGGGCTGCTCTGATCCGCAAAACAGCAGCTTTGTCTCTCCGACAGCCCCCCGGGCCAGATGGTCTGGGGCTGCCAGAGCCACCTCAGTGACTTGCTGTACCCTCACTGCTTTTGGCTCAGCTGCACAGTGAGCCCCCTGCCCTACCACACCCTCTGGTGCCACCCCCGCCTACCTTAGGCCAGGAGGACAGAAAAGAAATCCAGGTGGCCAAGACCTAGGATGATGGGGTTGCACAAGGTTGGCTTGAGGAGACCTTGGGGAAGTCACTGAATTTAGCAGCCTCCATTCCCTCAACTGTAAATCGGGCTAACAATAGCGGCTACCTCCCGGGGTGCATTTGTTTCTCGAGACTATTTGCTGGCAGGACCATGTGCCAGCTGAACAAAACAAAGTCCCAGCCCTCGCGGCGCTCAAGCCCGGTTGGGGGACCGTGCCAAGCCCCAACAGCATTTTGGAGGAGGGAGGTAAATGACTGAGAGAGAAACAGTGTAGAGGGAGAAGGCTATGAGGTGTGTGTGTGTGTGTGTGTGTGTGTGTGTGCGCGCAGGTGAGGGGGTACTGTCTAATACAGGGTGGTCGAGGACCGTCTCTCCAAACAGACGACCCTGAGCGGAAGGTGTTTTCAGGAGTATGGGGGCGAAGCCACATACCAGCGCCTGGGCGGTGTGGAGCGCTCCGTGGCGTGGGTTGTTATTCCTACGATTGTTATGATTCCTGGGGACCTCTGCCAGGCTTTCAGCTGGCAGTTGCCTGGCCCGGGGCAGAGAAACTCCCAGGACACGCCAAGGGGCAAGCGAGGCAGGATGACGGAGGAGGGACGGGAGAGGTGACGATGGATGTGATGGATGGAGATGTGACGATGGATGGAGATGCAGGCAGGACAGAGGTGCTCTCGCCATCGGAGACCCTCCCCCCATCTCTGCGTGCGAGGACCTAGCGCCGCGCCAGCCGATCCGCTGACCCCAGTCCCTGCCCAGCCCCCTGGCTCTCGGGCACTCACTCACCGCAGCCTCCGCGTGTGGAGTCCCGTCGCTGGAGCCGGGTGCGTCTCGCTCAGCGCGCCCCCACCCTGCCGTCCCCCACGTGGCTGCGGGAAGCAGCACCAGGCGGCACCTGGCGGTGGAGCCCGGCCCCCGCCTGCCAATCGGAGTCTGAGGAGCGGCTCCTCTCCGCAAAGCCGCCCAATCAGCGGACGCGAGGGGTCCTAGCACCGCCCCTTCGGCTCGCACCCCCTAGTGCTCCGCCTTAAGGGTAAGAGAGTGAGGGGTGGGTCAGGGAGTGGCGGCCCAGCCCGCGGAGAGCGTTCCTTCCAGGGCTGGGGTCCCTCGGTGGCCAGAGCCTCGGTAACGGTTCCCTCCGGCCGAAAGTTCTTCCCCTCCCGGCCCCCGGCTAGCTCCTACTCGTCATCTGCGCAGTTCCGGCAGTCTTCCTCCGGGAAGCCTTCCCTGACCACCAGTGACTGACCGCACCCCCTGCAGAGCCCTGGAGACTTCTTGCTGACCATCCCACTCCTCTTCCTAATGCCAGAGCCCCTGGTCGGGAGGGGACTCTGTCCCCAGGGGAAGGATAGATAGAGCCTGGCTCATGGTAGGCTTGTCTTGACGAGCGAATGAATGAGGTCAGGATCTCGTCTCGGGAACCCGGCCAGCCTCACCCTTCCTTCCCCCACCCGGGGTGGGGTGTCGCTCATCCTCTTCCACACCCTCTGCCTCTGGGCCCTTCTCGGAGGAGGATTTTCTGAGCTTGCCAAGCTCAGGGCCCGCACAGAATAGTCTCATCACGAACATTGGTCATTGCACTCGAGCCGTGACCGTCTCCTTCGGCATCCCACGGAAATCCACTTAGATGGGGAAAAGGCTGAGCAAAGTTAGCCAGAAGTGTCGGTGGCAGCCTTGAGCGGGAGAGCACATTTGTTCCAATTAGGACAGGCACTTTGTAGGTGCAAACCTCCCCCCCCTCCCTGACCCAAATTAGCAAATGCGATTCAGCCTAACATTTGGCATGTATTTAACCTGAAATCCAGAGAGAGGAGCCACCAGCAGCTGCCCCTGTGTCACAACTCAGAAAAGCCAGAACATGGGAGCTCAGGTCCAGTGGGGAGCGAAGGTTGCACCCAGCAGGTACAGAGGGGGGCACTGCAGAGAGACACGTGGTCCTGGGCTGGTTCTGGAAGGACGCAGGTTTGAGCCACGCCAGGGTGCTGGCCATTCTCTTTGTCTCCCCAGAGCATCTGAGTACCTTCCAGAGGCAGCAGAGAGGTTTAATGATTAGAGGCTTGGTCCCAAGTGTGGGTTGGGCACTTCACTTGGCTAAATGTGGGACCTTAGGCAAACACCGTAATCACTCTGATCCCCTTTGATCCCTGAGTACCTCATCTGTGTTACTAACACCTGACTCACAGGGATGGGAGGATTCCAATGAGAGAATGTGGGCCAAGTGCTTGGCACAGTACCTGGCCCATGGTTAGTGACGCACTCGGTAAATATTAGCTGGTGTTAGACTTTGCGTTTATTCTTGAGTGTCTTTTGTATGTGACTGAATAGCAAGTGTTTATTGAATGCCACATGCCAGGAGCTCTGGGAAACCCTGCTGTGTCCCTGAGTCCAGAAATGAGAAGAAGGATGGGGATGGTGTACAAGTTGGTCCTGCTCTCCCCAAATCCCAATTTATGAATCTCAGGGTAGACAAAGGATAAAGGGTTAATTCTCACTAGCTTCCTAAAAAAAAATGTGCACATTAAATAGAGGACTTGCCAATGACCAGATAGCAGTTCCATTTTGAGACAATTCAGAGAAAATAACACAAGCCACAACTCTGTTAACTGCTGGCTCTAACAAGTTTCTGATGCATACAATTCAATCTGATGCATGCAATTTAAAAAACAGTGACAGGAATTTGTTTTAGGCCAAAATGAAAAAAGATTGAGGAATTAAATTCGGATAGAGAAATAGTTTAAACCAAAAGGATAATTCTGCCTTCTAAATTGTTCTCAGGAGAAGGGGACAGGGTGGTCAGGATCTGAGTGGCAAGTACTGTGCTACATCCCTGGGATACAGAGATTTACAACAACACACACACACACACACACACACACACACATGACCACAAAAACCAGATCTGGAAAGATAAAGGTGTGAAAGGTATGTGACATTGACTCCTGGCTTACAACCCCCAAAGGTCCCTTTTGTTACTGGTCTTCAGTCCCACATAGGAATACAGTGTTTCAAAACCAAATGCATTTATACATTTGAAGTTCATGCCTTCATTTTTATTTCTGCATCAGTCATGTAACTGCCCATGTGAGCTATTCTGAGAGGTTACCAAATTCAACTTATCTAATTCCACCAAAAGCATAGAAACTCCAAGCTTCCTACCATGCATGGAGACTTGCCAATGATACATTAGATGCACAAGTTCAGAGGTTTGCCTCAAAGGAAATAAACTTCGGTGGGTATCGTCGGCCACCTCCTGGGCAAGCCAATCTAGTTCCACTCTGGACTGCAGCCTCAAACAGCCATCACTGCATTATCTGTCACCTGGCCCATTTGTCTTATCCTACATTCACGACAGCGCAGCCCTCGGCAACCACCAGCTATGGAATGCCAACCATTAGATTAATGACTCACTTTTGCAGGAAGCCTGAAGAAGTCACCTCTACTAGGCAGGGGAGGGAATGACTGAAAAAGGCAAGCGGGGGATGGGGTTATGATCCTTGAACACGTTAGGGCACATGGTCATGTATGTCATGGTATTTCCGGATGAATCAGTGACAATGATTAAATCATACAGGTGTGAGCTGTTATCACAATTTTCCCTTTTCTCTGAAATCCTGGAAGCTGGTACTGGGGTTGCCAGCTGACAAATGTGAGTGGGATGTAACACCACATCGTTTCAAAGCCGACAACCTACAATAGGACTGAAAACTAGAGCCAAGACGGGGGGCTGGGAACAGGCCTCGGCACCGCATCTCACCCACACCTGGTTTTCACAGCCCAGGCTTTTACCTGGGTCCTCAGTGACACCTTCCCAGGCTGATGGTCACATTCAGCCTTGAGCACCATTGTTCTGTTCTCAGGCTTGTCCTAATGGCTGCGTCTGCCACTTGCCCTCTATATCACACCCCCAATGACCTAGGAAGGAGATCAAAAAAGATTCTGAGATGTTTTGGGCTGAACTGTGCCCTGCTGCCCCCCCCCCCCGCCCCCAGCAATACACTGAAGGCCCAACCACTAAATATCCCAGAGTGTGACTGTATTGGGAGATCGGGTCTGTAAAGAGGTGAATTAAGCCCTGGCTGGTGTGGCTCGGTAGATTGAGCACTAGTCTGTGAACCAAAGGGTTCTCAGTTGTTTGATTCCCAGTCAGGGCACATGCCTGGGTTGTGGACCAGGTCCTCGGTAGGGGGAGTGCAAGAGGCAACCACACAACCACACATTGATGTTTCTCTTCCTTTCTCCCTCCCTTCCCCTTTCTAGAAATAAAATCTAAGAAATAAAAAAAGAGGTAAATTAAAATGAGGTGATTAGATTGGGCCTTAGTCCACTATGACCAGTGTCCTTTTAAGAAGAGGCAATTTGGACACAGACACCTACAGAGGGAAGATGATGTGAAGTCCCAGGGAAAGGGCAGCCATCCACAAGCCCCAGAGAGAGGCCTGGAACACATCCTTCCTTCACAGCCCTTGGAAGGAACTAACCCTGCTGAACCTTTGATCTTGGACCCCAAGACTCCAGAACTGTGAGAAGTAACTGCGGTTCTTTAACCCACTGCATCCGTGGTACGTTGTTATGGCAGCCTGAGCAGACAATGATCACAGTGTTTCCTTTCCCTGCATTTAAACAGCAGACCACAGCACTGTACAGTCCCCTTCCTGGTGTATGGTCTGGTTGGTAGGTGGGGGTCCAAGGACCCAAGAAGTGTAGCCTACTTCAAGTCTCGCCTGCCCAGCTGAGCAGCAGTGCGTAAGTGATCTGCCTGCAGTTGCAGTCAGTTCCAAAGGGAACACAGACTGCGGGAGCCCTGCCTCTCAAAGGCTCACATGGGGCAGCGACTCTCATGTTTTCTGAGTGAGCGTGCACTCTCTGGGACATGTCCGCTGAAGCCTCGGCTGCTGCTGCCGATTTCTAGGAAATCTTGCTTTATTTTAGTAACTACTGTGGACTTTGCATTCCCTTTCATTTGCTCAGTCTTACCATCGACATAATGGCACTCCTTCCCTGAATACCTTTTTGTAACAGGTGCCCCAGAAGTTGGCACTATGTTCTTTTGTTGCTACCTGTACCCCACTGGAATAAGCAGTGGTTCCTAGTACTTTCTAAATTGAAAAGTACAGATATAAAGACAACCCCTCCCTCAGGACTATCTAAAATAATGCCTGCGTTGTAAATCATAAACTGGTAACCGTATTACATAAAACTGTGTGTATATCCTTGAGGATATGTGCATTGATTTAAGGGAGAGGAGGAGGGAGGGGGCGGAGAGAGAGAAAAAGCAGCATGAATATGAGGAGCATCGATTGGCTGTCTCTGGTACACACTCTGACCAGGATCGAGCCTGCAACCTTTCTGCTGTGTAGGACAACCCTCCAACTGAGCCACCCTGAGCCACCCGGCTGGGGCAAGGTAACAACATTTAATGGAGATAAAAAGGAAATGATTGCACACCATGTAACCAGTTTTCCCTGTAGCCCCTCTTCATCCATAGCCAGCTAAGGCCCCAAGTCTGGCCAGGGGCCAGATGGATTCCTGGGCCTCTGGTGGCCTCAGCTTAGAAGGCACTCCCACCTCTTACCCACCTGGCTTCTCTTCTCTGCTGCTCCCTGGCATTTGACACTTAAAGCTACATACATTTCTTTTCTTGATCATCTTTTAACAAGCTCCTAACAGTTTGAGAACCTGACTTTAAAATCTGTTAAACAATCTGCTAGCCACGGCCCACTGTGACTACCTCCCTGTGCCTCTTGCAACTTGTTGCTGGACACCTCGCTACCTGAGCTGTCTGTGCGCAAAACCTCAGGAAGGTGT